CTGCGTTCTGGAGGACTCAACAGCGCGGCAGTACAAACTGATCGATCACTGGTCGCGATCAGGAGATACCAGCCCTCAGCGATCGTCGCTGTCCGTCCGAGGCCAGCCTAGGCGTAATTGAGATCTGCATGACGGCATGGGCCGCTGCAGTGGGCGCCTCGGAGGTCTTCTGTTCACCGATCAGGTCATGAGGGCCGAGGGCAGTGGGTTAAGTGGTGTCAGGTCACACCGCACCCAAAGAGTCAACACGCCGTCGTGTCCAAAGCAGCTCCGTGGCTCTCAGCGCCTATAGAAAATGAGCTTATTTCATCCGGCCGTACCGTGACGGTCATATTACAGCCGTGATAGGAAGGTTACCGAGCTCGCGTCCCCGGCTTTGATCCATATATGGTAGCAGCGCATCATATCGCGGCGATAGTGCTTCGCTGCAGCACCAGCCGATGTTTCCTCACGAGTGGTTGTCTGACCTCGTATGCTGAATGCAATTTTAAGCTAGTGACAAATACCGCACTAAAACTAATTGATAACTGGTTTAAGTTCTACCATATCCTGTCGCCGAAGTTTCTGTGGTTACAGCATTCAAGTTAACACAATCGGTTAGATTGGATCAGCTGAGCTCAATGGCAAACTCTTATCATGGATTACAGCAAAACGTTCTCAAAGCCAACCAACATGACCGAACGACCGACCCCGAATTCTGGGTCGGCGGGTGACCTCGGCGGAACACACAGCACCCCTCCCGTGCTATCATGACACCCATCGGAGCGATACGAGCCCGGGAATACATGACGCCTATCTGAGCGACACAAATACGGCTAGACAGACGCGACCACCACAGCCGCCGCGTGTCCCCGCCACGGAGAGATACCATCTCCCTGGACGGCGGCGGTCCGTCACATGTCCACGTGTGTGAGGGGAACAGCTGGCCCGGGTCAGGTCAGGTCAGGGTCGCACAGACCGGCTGTCCTTCCAAGTTCCAACAGCTGGCTCTCTGTGCAAAGTCCACAGATGCTCCACGCTCCATCTAAGACAGCTCAGACCTGACCACCTTGTACGGAACCATCCGTGACAGGCAGCACGCCCAGAGGGGGGAAGGGAAGAGAACAGCCCCCTGACTCCACCCACCACGCCCGGTAGTCACGAACGTTGGCCGAAGCGGTGAACCCTGACTGACTGCCTTCCCCAGAGTCCCCTCTAAGGTCGGAAGGTGGAGTCGACAGGGCCACTGACCCTCCTGGGGTCGGAGAGGGTAGTGTGAGGGCCACATTGAGGTGTGAGGGCAGCTCTGAGGTACCGAGCCGCTCGGCTGCCACCGCCAGACGGGACAATACGTTAGCACTTAATTATCGCTGCTGAGGCTGTCAAAACTTGTGATAATCTCCGCCTTACTGTCCCGGAAGCTGCATGACATCATGACAACCACTGCACACTCCCCGCCCAACACCTTGGAACAATGCTATCTCCAACACGCCCCCGCAGGTGGCCACATCCGCGTACACACGGCGTTCTGTCCGGCCGCAGACAGTGCAGCCGCTGCCAAGGTCGTCCGACGCCGCTCGACCCAGAACGAGACTCGTGTCTGCGTTATTCCTGTATAATCGGCCAGTTTGTTCTGTTTACGACGCTCACTGAGCGCAGCGCCGTGCTTTTATTAACCCGCGCCCTGATGGGGGGGGGGCCATTTTGGCCCCCCCCTGTGGTTTTTCTTGAATAGCGAGAAAACGGCGGCGCGCAGCGCCGCCAAATTTTGGGTACCTTACCGGGCATCAATTTGACACCTTCACACAAAATTTCAAGTCACAGGTCACCTCAGGTCAGGAGTTATTGAGGTCAAACTGAGGTCATGTTCGAGCAAAAATGAGCAAAAAACATGACATCTTGAAACGCTCACCAATTCTACAGTTAACAAGCAATTTTAAAGTTCTTTATGTGGTTGTGTAGAGAAAAGTCGGTGCTACAAAACTGCTATCTCGGATTTTCGAAATTTTGGGATTTTGACCCCCAAAAATCAAAAAAATTGATTTTTTTAGAAAAACTCAAAAAATTTCCAAAAAATTTCGAATTTCGAAAAAACCGGAATATATGTGATAGTCCCTGCGCTCTTCGATATACATACCAAATTTTAGATCGCTACCTCTTTTTTTGGCCAAGTTATAGCGAAAAAACTGTTAAAAATTGATGACGTCAAATTTTTGAACTCAATTTTTAGCAATTCTAGACCTCGTAGCGCAAAACGGAGACCACCATTGAACTCCCCGTGACGAGCTGCATCGAATCGATACCCATTTTATGCAAAAATATCAACTTTGAAATTTGACCTAATTTGACCTGACCTTGACCTGACCTTGACCTGACCTTGACCAAAACGTGACCTAGGCTGGCCCTAAAGTCTGTCTGACCCACATACTCGCATTTGTCATGTAAAATGGACCATAAAACATGTATCACACGACACTTTCATATTGTGACCCCCCAGTGACCTGACCTTTGTGACCTGACCTGGTATCAGTGACCTCAAATAGCAAAATATGTGTTTGAAGAACATTTCTCCATCAATGATTTTCAATGAAATGCATTTTACTCGATTTTACAACGCATTTCTTGAAATGCCTGTAAACGGTGAAAATTCGACCTTTGACCTGACCTGTGACGTCATCGGTTTGACCGAGGTCAATGAAATTGGGTCACAAGGTAGTTCCCCGCTGGGGCTATCCAACACCGTTTACCGCTTGTCGCTATGTTGCGTGGTTCTCGAGATCTGAGGGGGGGGGGCCAAAATGGCCCCCCCATCAGACCGCGTTGCTCGGCAGACCCCATCTGGGCGCGGGTTAACCGGCGCCGGGTCAGCCCTAATCAGGTCGGACTTGGGTCGTGACCAGGACGGTCTTGTGACCCAGCCTGCCGCCCGCCAGTAGCTCATCGAAACGAGACTTGGCCGGGCGTCTGAGTGCTCGACAAAACCCATCAAAACGAGGCCGGCCGCACAGCGTAATCCACATAGCTCATCAACCGCCGACCAGACCACGATCATTCGGTCAGCCGAGGCAAACCCCGAAAACAGATCACTAAATTCAGCGGCGTGCCGAATCGTTTCCGGTAGACCACTCTAAGACTCAACCCCACCTCAGGGGGGGGGGGGGGGTGGGGGGTGTCGCCGGCGGACCGATCGACGCACAGGGCGGGGTGTGACCGGCACGGCGGTGACAAGGTCACGCGGAACCGTGGGACCGCCGCAGTTATGTAACGCAGCCCTGTCATGGCCACGGTCGCCGCCGGAGCTGGAGGCCCGCCGTCCCAGCGCCACGGACGTTAGGAGGTGTCACGGAGAGTCACGGAGAGTCACGATATGTCACGGGGCGTCAGGATTCGTTATAGTCGTGACATGTGACGAGGAGACCACTGACCCGGGCGGCCGGACCAGCCCGGGAGAGCTAAAACGTGCCAGTTCAGATGTGCATAGAAAATCACCGAAATCGCTAATAGTTCTCAATCGGTTTACCAGTTAGCTCATATGATTATCCCATCACGCGTAATCCACTCACCGCAGGCAGCAGATTGAAAAAGAGCGGCGTGAAAGTGACTTGTGTCAGTCAACCGGGCGTGTTTCCTCCGGAGAGCGGGCCCTGTATTGCGCGCGGACAGAGCAATGCTAGCTCCCGCAGCCACGGGCGACCGGCCGCCTTCAGAGCCGATGATGATAAATGATACTACAGTCTCCACGAGCCTTCCGATTTTTATCAAATACCAACATTGTCTCTTTTTCACTTTCCACAGAGTAGAGACATTTGGAATGGAGCGCGGCAGGATCCGGTTTTTACCGTTTGAAGCGATCGTTATCAAGATATCAAACTTCACAGTGATAGCCAGCCAATGAATTCAAGAGAAAACGAAAAGGAACTAATGACTGCAGTCAATGAGTCAATGTTTTGGCTCATGTGGAAGTAAACTAAATGCCATGGAAAGGCACAATGAACCCCATTTATTGCAGCGTTAGACCAGACCACAATGCAACCGGTCTTCGCTTCACCCATCTTCGTCGGTCATTCGCTTGTCGCTCCCGGGGCACGGGCTAAATACCACCAGTGCCGCGGCGGGTATAATCTGAAGTGGCATTTATCTGTCACCGGTCACTGCTACCGGAAAGCAGCTCAGCTTTGGAGCGACCCGTCCTTAGTGACGGCGAGCTTTCCATTAACGAGGCTTACGGAGTTCTGGCTGGGGCAAAAAGCGTACCAAGCCCGATCCGGTTCACCAGGCCCAGCTCGGCTTATATTTCAGCACGGAGGAAAGGCTTGCCTTAGGTAAGTACTACTAGTTTTGCACATCACAGCGGATTATTTACCCAGGAACATAGCGAGCCGAATGTACGACGGTTCGCTCGGCCGGAGCACCGGACCCTATTCGGACACTCGGGCGCGCACCAGCGCCACCTACACACTGTTCAAACAACCGGCCTTGTGCGTAGCTGAGAGAAGGTCCAACTGTCCGCGTGTTTCGCACTGTCTTACCTGACCTGACCAAATGGGGGTCTGACTGCCTGTCTGGTTCGCACTGGGTCTCCCTGTCCCACTGGGCACTGAATGACCCGATGAATGTCGGACTGCCCGTCCGCTCTGGACAGGAAGCCCCTGTTCCAGTGACAGAGGGTCTGACTGCCAATCTGCTCGAACTAGTAAGGTCATTGATCCCTGTCCCCAAGAGTGACCTGATCATCAATGCCCGACTGCCCGTCTGTTCCGGTTTGGAGGTCCCTCTTATACTGACCTGACAAGTGCCTATCCCAGTTTGCTGGAGACTGGAGGTCCTATGACTGACCCAAGTCTCTCTCCCCGTCTGTTCCGGGGTCCAGCAGAGCTGCCCAGTCAGACAATCCACTGACTCCCGCTATCTTACAGGTCCCTGTCCCACTGACCTGATGAGGGCCTGACTGCCCGTCTGCTCCGGCGTCCACGTAAGGCTAGCTTAGGCTAGGTCAGGTCATTGGTCCCCGCTCTACTGACCTGATGAGTGCCTGACTGCCCGCCTGCTCCGGCGTCCAGTACGGCCTCCCGGTCAGACGGTCCACGTTGATCAGAGACCGCTGCAGGACGCTGAGTAGCAGGCCGCGCTTCACACCCTCCTCATATACCTGGCCGAGAGAGACAGAAACAGTAAGGAAACGTTTCGAAGAGCAGATAAATAACAAAATATCGTCATAAAAATACACAATAGACTCACATAGGACGATCAATAGACCATGACGGCACAAAACCTCAATTATTTACTGACGATCAGCTACTCTGCGCGCATCGCTGAAGAATATAGAATGCTTATCTGGCTACTTTAGGGCAGAACGGGACGTAAAATCCCTTACGCGCGCCATACGAAATGCCATGTTTGGTTCAGGTCAGAACTGACGTCAGCACATACATGACGTTAAAAAAGACATCTAAGCCCTCTGTCGCATCAGCCGAGTCGTGCCGCGCGTCGTACCGACCTTGAGCGCCAGGTCGCGGCGGCCGGTGCGGTCGTACGAGTCGCCCAGCGCGTAGTAGAAGCGCTTGTCGTGTACGCCCGGCTCGTCCGAGTCGATCCCGGCCTGCATCAGGGTCACAGCCGCCGAGTGGTTGCCCTCCTGGCGCCGGATGAAGCCCAGGTGCACCTTGGCGTAGCCGTTTTCAGGCCACAGGCGCAGCACCTGATGGACGAGGGGGGGGGGGGGTCAGGGGTGCAGGTCGGTGGGAACGGTGGTGGTCGAGCGGGGCGGGGGTGCTCAGGGAGATTACTACTGCGTATACTGGCGCGCTAAAAAGTCACAAAACGCTTATGGCTTGTTTGTGTTACGGGAACACATTGTTCCCCAGTCGTTAGGACTGCAAGACACTTTGTGCTTCAGCTAGCTAAATAGCACAGTTTTGCTTGAGTTGATACAGACTAGCTTCCTCATCTCCGGTAATACAACAGTACTACCACCCACGGACTCATATCCGGCCAACTGAGATCACAATGCCCCTATCATGTTGGATTTCATCGGTTGTGACGTTGTTTTACACCCCGTCCTTATCCCCTGAAGCGCCTCCTTCGCCGCGACATTCTGCACTGTGGAAAAACACAGTGGAAACGCCCGTCCTTACCTCCTGCAGGACCTCCTCGGCGGCGGCGTTCTGTCCGTACGTCATGAACACGGTGGCCAGGTGGTTCCTCAGCATGTAGTCGTCGGGGAACTTCTGGATCAGACGCTGCTGAATGCGCGCAGCCTGGTCCAGCTGGCCTAGAAATGGACAGAGTCGAACAGTCATAAAGTAACTGAGTCAGGGATACAGGGGAGACGGAGAAATGGGTCTGAAATTCGCTATCCTGATTAATAATTTCGATCAGCATTTGGGCGACCCATTTATTCGCAAATGTTATGCATACGGCTTCTTTTCAACATTGAAAAATTCCCAGAGCAGCAACTATCCGTTGCATAATCATTCAACACTCCAGCCTACGAACGACAACTTTCGCCCATCATAGTTAAGCGTGCACGCTCTACTCCTACAATTTTCCTTGCTGTCTCCCTACCTCCCATGCCGACTAACCTCTGAACCTCATCTGCTGTACGCAGCTCTCGGCCGCCCGTCGGTGCAGCTAGTGCAAACACCCTACCCCGCCTCCACCCCCACTCACCTCTGAACCTCATCTGCTGGACGCAGCTCTCTGCCGCCTGTCGGTACAGCTGCAGCGGCACCTCAGCCTCCAGATCCAGATCCAGCACGTCGCGGAACGCCTTGATGGCCTTGTCCAGCAGGTTGTTGCTGCGCTCCCGAGTAGCCTGCGCGTTCAGCGCGCGCGCGCGGCCCCAGAGGGCGCGCGGAGAGCGCGGCCGGCGCGCCAGGATCGCGCCGAACGCGCTCAGCGCCGCCGCATCGTCCTGTTCGCGCGCCCAGACGCAACGGTTGCCATGACGACCGGGAGATGCGGCCGGCGGCGGCGGGGAGGCAGAGGGGTGGATGGTCGGGAGACGAGGACAGGGGGACGGAGAAGGTCAGACCGCTGGGGAGATTTGATACAGGGGGCGAGACGGGGCCAACTGAACCAGGGGACGGATTAGATGCGGTGCAACAATAACACAGCATGCAGATATCTCTATATTGGGGGCTGGGTGGTAGCTACGCTAAAAGCACCGATGACGTCATCATCGGAGCTTCGGCGTGGAACCCTACCGGGAGCTGGGACTGGGACTGGGGCGGGGCGGGGGCGGGGGCGGTACGTATCACAGGGCAACCTCAACAACATTCCCTCCCAGAGGTAAAACCGCGCTAACACTGAGCAACAGCAAACAACAGGAAAGACATTGTTCGTGTTGTGTTATTCGTTGCATAAAGGTACCGCACACCTACTAAAGGTACCGCATCATTCACACCATATGCATCCCTGTATAGCCAAAAACAGCGAGACAGACAGCCCAAAACCAAAGAACCAGCTCCTGGCTGCAAACCAAGCAGAAATAAACACCAAGCGCGGTCAGAACGTGTAGCAAGCAGATCGAGGGCTCCTTGTCCACCAAAAGCCTGGGACAGGCCTACTACGTTAAGTCGATATTGGAGGGGAAATGGAGAGAGAAAAGGAAAGGCACAATTTTCGGCGGGCCGCCTAGTCCTGAGAAGAGGCGCAGACAACCAGGTTACAGCGGAGAAAGCCGATGTACGTACGGAATATAGCTAAACGACACAGCTGAATGATCAACAGGGGACTGCAGAGTACAGTTACAAGCGAGCAAGGTAATGACGACAATGGAAACATCATAATGGAGTTTGAAGCAGAATCACGTTTCACAATACAATATGGACCTGAGACACCGAACGTGACAACTTTAAGCAGAACGGACGACCCGATGGTTTTGAAAAAGACGAACAGCTATTGGGGAAATGTGCTGTACTCATGCAAACGAGGGACGCAAAGGACCCATTCGAATGATAGGGTGCGGAGGTGAAGTGTATGATCACCGGTGCTTCAGTGGGAAATATTTAAACACACCATGTGCGAGGATGATTGTGCGAGAGTGCTGTGTTCCCATATTCAAAAATAGACTGACTGGAGATTACTGAACTAACACACGGTAAGGCCGATGTCATGCACGATAGGCCGCCCACCGACTGTGCCGGTCGTGTGACCCACCTCTGTATCAGATCCACAGCTGCGTGGGGTACAGAGCGACACTGAACAATGGCTCCACTCGGCCGGGCGGGGATACAGGACGGACGGGAGGCGGTGCACCCTACAGCCTGTACTGCGGGATCTACAGACCGCGCCTAACGCTGTGCTCAGTCCCCAGAGGCTGTGAGGTAACCGTGACTATCCGACGCACCGAGCGAGGGCTTGGAGCATGCACTACTTGTGTCCGTCCCGGTCCCATAGCCGGCAAGGTGTTCGATGATACCGTCTGTTCCCAAACTAAGTCACCATGTAAGCGTGTCTATAACTGTCCTATAGAAATTATAGAAATCCCCGCTTGACTACAGCTACCCCAGTTCACCAGCCACGAACCAGTCTAAATCGCGAAAGGTGAAACACGACTACCGACAAAATTGCACGAACAACGGCTAGAAGACGACTATCCTAACAAATCCCAATTCGACCCAGCTCCCCACCGTCCACCCCTCTCAGTCCTCCCACCCTCCCTCGGTCAGAACTATCTCCTCACCGTCCGTGAGCCCCCCTGAAACTCACCGTATCGACCAGGTTATCGGCGGCGTCCAGCTCAGCGCGGATGTCCCAGTCCTCGGGACCCGTGACGTCGGCCTTGTCGTACTCTCCGGCCGCGTCCGGCGAGTCATCCTCCACGTCCGCCACGATACCCTCGTCCACGGCAGGGGCCGCCTGGCGCCACGGAAACGCGTCAGAGGGCAAGACGGCGGAAACTAGGCGGAGCGGGGTGGGCGGGAAAGAGGGCAGCACCAGGAGTTTAATCGCTAGGCTTATCGGATAGCAAGCTGAGCTATACAGTCGGGCTTTTTGAGGTCTTACATTCGCTTTGTAAACTGACATTCAATTACTGTTGAATCTGGGCAAAAAATATGCGAGCCATTCTATTATTTTCTAGCCATGCATTTAGCAACATTGACAACCACTCGGACATTCACAGATGTTAGTGTAAAACTCACAGCACGCTGCCGCTCGGTCTCACCTGTGCGGCTTGCTTAGCATGCTGGTCAGTGTCACTCGCTACGGGAGGGTCAGCCGGCCGGTCCGCCGCCTTCTCCTGCTCCCGCTGTCCGGCGCGGACTCGCTCTATCTCCTCTGCCTCCCGCACCGGCGTCTTAGGCGCAGGCATCTCAGTGGGCACTTCTTTCGCCACAGGCTTCTCCGTGGGCACTTCTTTCTCTACAGGCTTCTCAGTGGGAACTTCTTTCACCACAGGCTTCTCAGTGGGAGCCTCTTTCGCTACAGGCTTCTCAGTAGGAGCCTCCTTCACCACAGGCTTCTCAGTGGGCGCTTCTTTCGCTACAGGCTTCTCAGTAGGAGCCTCTTTCAATACAGGCTTCTCAGTAGGAGACTCTTTTACCACAGGCTTCTCTGTTGGCGCTTCTTTCACTACAGGCTTTTCAGTCGGCTTAGTTTCCACCTTTTCCGCCGGCTTTTCAATAGGCTTCTTTACCTTCACAGCTTCATTGGGCTTCTCTATCACAGGTTCCTTTGGCTTATCTTCTTTTACCGGCACTTTCGGCTTCTCTTCCTTCACGGGCTCACTTGGCTTCTCCTCCTTCGCCGTCTCTTTCGGCTTCTCCTCCTGGACTGGCTCGGCGGCCTGGACGGGCGGTGGCGGGGTATTAGTATCTACTGGCACACTGTCAGCGGGGGGTGGCACACTGCTGGGGGCCGGCTCATTGGCCGGTGTAGCTACCTGCTCCTCCACGGCGGCCTCGGAAGTCACTTCCTCCGCCTTCTCCTCTTCTACCACGGCCTCGGGAGCCTCCTCCTGAGGAGCGTCCTCAACCGCGACCTCCACATCATCAACCACTTCAGGTTCCTCCGCTACTACCGCTTCTTCTGCTACTTCAGCTTCCTCTGCTGCTTCTGCTTCCTCTGTTACCTCGGCTTCCTCAGCTACTTCTGCTTCATCAGCGACCTCGGCGTCTTCCACAGCCTTGGCCTCCTCGGCGACCTCGCGCGGTTCCTCCACCACCGGCTCCGTCACGTCCACGCCCTCGTCAGTGTCTGCCACCGGAGCCGCCTCCTCCGGTTGCTGTTGGTCCGGCTCAGCAGCTACTGCGGGCGGGAGAAAGGTCAACTCAGTGATTTTCAGCAAAATACGGCAACTGCCGTCATGTTGTGGTTTTCAATGAGAATCACTTAATATTACATGCATAACTAAATATCAATTTAACACACTCATCAATGATTTAGGTAATAACCTTGTTGAATGTAAACTTATTTCAGCTTTTCTGGCATAGAAACCATCGTCATTAAGTCACAATTCCCAGGCATGTGACGGCAGAGCAAAACAAAGTTTCCACACGTAAAATTGATGTTCGACCACGTCAATTTCTCAACCAAAGTCCCACCAATTTCCAAACCAGGCGGCAAGCCGAATGACTGTTATCTAAGATACAGTGAGTCTTTGAATGGACTTACCCTGGTCAGTGGCTGGCTCTTCGGCATCATCCTGAAACATGACACATGCGTTTGAGTAACAGTGTCATCGGGTTTAAGGAATTATTATTTTGACAGATTAGCACAGATTGACAAAATATCATGTAGTCAGTAAGCGCGTATAATTCTACTGAAATGTAGAGCAAGTGAAACAGCGGGCCACACCACAAGAGTGAGAGAGTAGAGCGCATTGTGAGGGAAGCGTCAGTTGCCTACTCCATACAGGCGCGGACTACTCCATAAAGGCTACGATCGCCTGCAGTTCTACACGGCGCTGTCAAAGTAAAGCAGAAGGTACCGGCGTGAACAAGGGGGGGGGGGGGAGGTCGTCATCATATACATCCAGGGGCGCGGGAACTACTTTCCGACTGGGGGGCACACCATAATAGAGATTAACCTAGGGTACCCCCAAATCTAGTTTTCTCACCGGTTTTAGGCCACTTATTTTTCACCCCTCGGCTTTTTCAACAAAAAAAGAAAACATTTGCAAAAAAAGTGTGGTATTCCGTCTCAAAGCTGTGGGGGCACCGCCCCCACGGCCCCAGAGTTGGGGGGGGGGGGGCAAGCTGCCCCCACTGCCCCCCCCGGCTCCCGCGCCTATGTATACATCGATGTCAGCCCAGCACCGAGGGAACTATGCTATGCTGGTGTGAATGGAACATTTTGTAAGCCAGCCATCACCAATGCAGTCTGTTAGTTCTGCGGCCGACGTCGGACGTAATACATTGTCCACCACCAGCGTCCGTTGGAGTAGAATGGTAGGTCACCGGTCACCAATGAAGCCTGTTAGTTCTGCGGCGGACATCGAGCGTTATATGCATACTGTCCACCACGTCCCGTGATGATGATGAATTGGGGTTTTTGGGCGCCCGGACTACAGTGGTCATCGGCGCCCAGTCCACCACCGGTGTCTGTCGGTGCTGACGCTGTTCGTTAGAAACCCGTCACCAGAGGTAGTCTGTGCTTAGCTGCTCTACCATCCAGCACCGCTGTTAATTCTGGCGGAGATCGACACCAGTCATCAGCCACCGACCGGTGACTGTCCAATCCATCATGTAGCCACCACCACCAGTCACCACCAACACCACGGCAGCTAGCACCACCACAGGTGCAGCTGGCTCGTCCTCTCGCCTCCTCTCTTTCAGTTACCTCCAGCAGCTCCTCCGAGACGATCTCCTCCCGCACCGTGCCGTCGGCGTCCGTCATCTGTTTCACCACCTGGCGCATACGGACCAGCTTCTCCTCGGTCACTACCCCCTCCTCCTGCTGGGGCGGCTGGGGCGGAGGCGGCGCGGCGGCCGGCGCCTCCTCCAGCTGCGGCTCGGAGCCCTCCAGCTGGATGCCGGCCGGCGGAGCCTCCACGTACACCACCTGCTGCTGCTGCTCGGCCGGCGCGTCCACGTACACGATGTGCTCCTCAATCACCTGCTCCACCACCTGGGCGGGCGCGTCGCCCTGCGGAGCCGGCGGTCAGGAGACCCACGGTCAGACGGGGACGGGCGCGTCGCCCTGCGGCACCGGAGGCTAGCTCACTCACGGATCAAACGGGCTCTACAGTACAGTACAGTAAAGGTAGATGAACAGGTGCGTAGCCCTGCGGATATGGTACGATGGTACGGGTCGGGAAGTGGCGGCACAGTTTGACACGTTTGGTTCTAGAGGGGAGGATACGGTCAGATCAAAATTCTGTGATCAGCGATGCAGATAGTGTGTAATTATGTTTGGCGCACGCGAAAAAAGTCGTAAGGCACGAAACCCAAGGAACTGTGCAGAGCTAGAACTGGGTGCGGTGACACCATTAAGCTAGGTGTGCATGACTGTGCAGTGTCATTGCTGAATGGACTGGTTGGAGCGAGGCGAGAAGGTGCAGGGTGCGGGGTCAATCTATTTCAAACCTAGACATAATGTGCAGTCATTGCCACAGGTGGAAGAAGAATGCTGCTCACATCAACTGAAAATGACATACTTTTGACACTGATACATCATACGAACGATAAAAGCTATAAAAAACGTCACCGATTGAAATTAATTAAGACCATATGACATTTTCCAATGTCGATCATTGCCTCGATGGTGTCGCGAAATAACGCACGATATCAGCCAAGTAACCGGGGAGCAAAGAAACATTTCGGTGCAATATTAGTACCTAGCTAGTGAAATGAGAAAAGGGTAAATTGGGGTAAAAATGGTGCATGTTAACCCGCGCCCCAGTGGCGGTCTCAGCCAACTTCGCCCTAGTGAGGGGGGGGCATATGTTACCACCCACCTTTAACTCAAAAACTAAGAGGGCTAGAAAGACGCGGTAAAAAGCAGTCGATAGCTCTCAATGCGTACGTTTGAAAGTATTTCAGTCATTTTTCACCTTAGAGCAATATTGGGGTCACCAGAGGTCATCAAAGGTCAAAATTTGCCAATTGTCATGATATTTTTCAGAAAACATGCCGCTATCTCAGGAACTATGATAGCCAGGAAAACGCATGGAAAAGCAATCGGTAGCTTTTGAACTCTTCTTTTGAAAAGGTCATTATCAATATTGACCTCAGGTCAACGGTTTAGCCTCCAGAGGGCAAAAACTCCAAAAATAGCTGTTTTTACGAAAAGTGTTTTTCGACAATAACTTTCGACTACAAAAAGCCACGACATTTCTATTGCCAGAATCGTGTTCCCCTTGCCGAGACGCGTCGAATGAACTATAATTTGACCTTGAAAGGTCAACTTGAAAATTTGACCTCAGGTCAAGGTCATGACCTGACCGGAAAAGGTCATGTTGCATATCAGTCGATGCGTCTCAACAAGACAAACACAATGAAACCATCCCCAGCGTTCTATCTCTTTCCAATCGCGAGTTATTGGCAAAAAACTGTTTGTAGCCTCAAATGACCTCGGATGACCTTTCTAGAGGCTATCAGCAAAAATGACCCCTTGGTCGTCACGAGTGGACTAAATCATTGTGATTCTGAAATATTTGGACTGTTCCTATGCGTACACACGGATCTAGAGGCATTTTCATTTTTCTCCATTGACTTGTAATGGAAAGGTCACGCCACTGACCTGACCTTAGGTCACGGATATAAAAAATCCGAGATATACAAATTGTAGGCGCCCATAACAGCATGCAATCCACGAAGTTTAAAACCTTTCTGACAAACATTGCAGGCTGGACATGATTGCAAACTTTTTTTTAGGCTTGGTCAGTTAACTTGACCTGGTGACCTGACCTGACATGACCTGGGGTCAAAAATTTCACACATTGTCCAAAATTGATGTACCAAAAGCTACCCCAAGCGGCGCGGCGCTACGCGCCGCGGTTTTTTATTCACACGCAAAAAACGCGACAGGGTGGTAACATATGCCCCCCCCCCCACTGGGGCGAAGGTTAACCGTAAATTAAAGCCATTCAAAGGAGGATCAGTGGTTAAAACCTTGTAAACCCAACATAATCACAATGGGTTAACATCTAGGTACTGAGAAATTGGAGAAGCAGAAAACATTTAACACAGATAAGACAGTAAATTATTAGAAGGGGCCTTTGTAAAAAAAGAACAACGTGGTCTAGAAAATCGCCAATTAAGATTGTGGTTAAAATATAAGGTGGTGGTTATAACAATCAAAATTTGAGCAGCAACAACGTCGAAACTAGGACTACAATTATACAGATCGAATATCTGCAAAGAAAAAACGGTTAAGTAAAGACAATGCAAGAAGGCAGACATTGATTAACAAGACAGAAGGGCGTAAGGCCTTGGAAGATAACGCTGAACACATGCCAGAGTGCACATTAGGTGCTACGAAGACGCGTTTAATCGAATACCCGTTGCCCGCCGACCCTCCCACCCCGGTCTCCGGCCGCGGACGGGGGACAGGGGCTCGCTCGTGGCGGTCGGGACTCCATGCGGCCGCCACCGGTGGTCAGGCCGCCACCAGGGGAGTAAGGGGAGGGCGATGGTACAGTCGGGTCGGTGCTGACCCCTTCTGTCGGCGGCGCGCTCTCGGCAGGATCGGCGGCTCCGTCAGGCGCGTCCACTCCGTGCCGGTCAGCAGCCGTGGCCTCCTCAGAGTCCTCTGCCAGCTGCTGATGGTGGTCAGTCTGACCCTCTGCGGCGCCCTCAGGCAGCTGCTGACTGTCAGCAGTACCCTCCTCTGCCGGCTGCTGGCTCTCAGCGGCGCCCTCCTCCGCCGGCTGCTGGCTCTCGCCCTCTTCCTCTCCTACCACCTCCTGCGAGACGAGCTGCTCGGAGCCGTCCTCGGCCACTGCCAGCACCTGCACCACCGTCTGCTGGACGGGCACCAGCTCCTCACTGGTGTGCACCACCTCTGTGGTCGTCACCACCGGCTGGTGCACCACCTCCACCACCGGCTGCACCTGCTGCACCACTTCGACCACGGGCTGCACCAGCACCCGCACCTCGGCCACCGGCTGTTCTACCACCTCCACCTGCACCACCTCCTGCTGGTCCTGCTGGTGGTCCTTCTCCTGGTCCGCCGGCCGGTCCGTGTCGGGTGTGGCGCCGGCGGCCGGCGGGTCAGGGACGGGGACGGGGTCGGGGGAGGGGACCGGGGCGGATGGGGAGCTGATTACCTCCTGCTGGCCGGCTGGTGCGCCTTCTCCCTGAAACACACGGGAGGGACAGGAGAGCCGCGTCAGGACGAGGTCCAGACACAATATACATTCACACAGCGGGGATAAATGACGGGATGCCTGGGAACATTTACCTTACACTGGGCAGAAGGTATGCGATTTCAGCTTCCCATTAATGACGTTCACCGATGTACAACGTACCTTATAGCATTCCATACGGCATGCTTTCATAATTTGCCGCAATCCGTTCTAAACAAGGTTATAAGGGGTGCTAAGACTAACCTTTAGAGTGATCTAAGATAACACATTAGACAATACTGACACATAAGGCTTCTAAGAGTGTAGTTAAAAATTAAAATGCGAGATAGCACACATACTACGCTTACTATGATATAACTCGATGTTGATCGTCTTGAGCAAAATGGATACCAGGCAGTGGACAAAACACACTTAAAACTTCAAAAACATAAATAAAATATGCATTAACTAAATCAAGGGTTCATTATAAAGCTCTCAATTAACATGGCATCTAAAGTAAGCTTTAATTACGTTAAATGTGTCAGGACAATCCAAGCTGGTCAAACAAGGGTCAAACATGGGTCAATCACAGTTAAGGGTCACACTGAAGGGTCACACTGAAGGGTCACGCATGGTCACACAGCGGACACACAGCCGTCACACAGCGGTCATATGCGGGTAGCAAGGCAGTTTGCAGCAGAGCAGGAAGGCCCGCAACGTCCTCTGGGGCCCAAACAGCGCGCGTCCTTCTGCGCACTAGTCACAAGAACGGACGCCGGGCATGGGCGGGGACGGGGCGGCGGCGGGGGTGGCGGCGGGGCGGTCGTCCTGGCGGCGCCCTTCCTGGCTCGGCGGGCTGCTCAGACGCCGGCGCTCGTAGCGTGCACCTTGCCTGGGCGGGCGGCGGCGGCGGCAGCGTGGCGAGGATTCGACACCAGATGCGTGCCCAGTCGGCAGAGAAGCCGCACCAGAACGGCGGTGTGGGAGCGACACCAGCCCGCGGGGAGACAGGAGCTTCCGTCCGTGGGTCGGTAGAAGCTGGCTGTTCAGGCGGCCGGGCAGAGAGGTCGGCGGTGCTGTCAGGATGAGAGCCGTCTAGACGTTCATCCAAGCTAGCCGCGGAGATGGCTATGGAGTCAGGCGCTGCCGAAAAGTCTAGCTGTGGATCATCGGGAAATTCATCCGAGCTGGTCACAGCGACAGAGTCTAAATCCACCGCCGCAGCGCCGCCATGGTCCTCCCACTCCCCACCGGTCCTGTCCGCTTCGGTGAGCTTCAAAATGTTCGCCAGTCTTCTCCCTTCCTCCTCCTCCTCATACAGCACATCGAAGAACGGCAGCTGCTCTCCCCTCGGCCCCAGCATCTGCCCGATGTCTATAATAAACTCCTCGACCTCCTCTCCCGTGTCCCCCACACTCCCGTTCTCCCCATCCCGGTCCTCTTCGAGCTCCCCTGCCGTCTCCGCGGTCCCTGGCGGCGTGGCCACACCGGCCCACTCGCGGACAAACTGCAGCTCGTCGGTCCAGGCGGCCAGCCGGGCCGGGAGGTCCTCCCAGTTCCCGAGCCGGAGCTGGTCGCGCATGTCTTCAACCTCAGTCCAGAACTCGTCAAACAGACCGTCCTCCGCCACATCGTCCACCTCGGGGAACGCCTGCGTCTCGGTCGCCATGGCAACAAGCGCGTCCAGAGCGGCCGTCAGCTGAGTGCGAGACAGCTGACTGTCCGTGCGGCCCCCGTCCGCAGCGCCTGGGGCGCCGCTGGGCTCGTCATGATCGGATGGCATTACCGGGGATAGCTCGTCTACAGCCGATACATTCACAGACGCGCCAGAACTAGTGGAGCCTAATTCAACCACTGGACCAGAGTCCAGCATCACTAGCACACTCTCTTCGTCTTCAGGAACTAATTCTAAAGCTTCATCACCCGACACATAGTAAACGTCCACCTCACTCCGGAGTTTGTGAGGTGTATCTACAGGAATGAGCTCATCGGCACCGAGGTCTACATCATCTAGCGATTCACTACCTCGCACGGTCTTCTCAGCCAAAGGCGATTGTGGAATAAGGGAATCTACGTCGCGAGACTCAACACTATATGGAATGTGCTTCACACCATCTTCACTTAACCCAGATCCGTCTTCAATCACCCAGCTAGCCATACTAGACTCATATGGTATAAAAGAGTCATCCCTATCCCCAACCCCTCCAGGCAGAGCCTGCCTCTGACCGTCACCCCACCCCAGAGCCTCGCCCGCGCCGCCCCACGCCGCCGTCCGGCGCCACAGCAGCGCGTCCATGCGGAGTGGTCTGGCCCGGCACACCGGCGGGGTGCCGTCCCAGACACCACCCAGCTCCGCCAGCCAGGCCGCCTCGAAGCAGCCCGCCGGGCCGGGAGGAGCATGCCGCGTGCGGGGAGCGTGCCGGCGCGTGCGGCGGCGATCTCCACTCGCCTGGTGGTCCGAGAGAGCGTCCTCCGACGGTACACTGTCCGGAGCGGCATTGTCCAGCGGTCTGTTGACGATCCGAGAGGACACCTCGAGTTTCGCCGCATAGTCGGATACAGATATATGATTGACAGAGCTGCCATCGGTCTGCGCGCTGGCGACTGCGCGGGTGGCCACTGAGTCGACGGTGAGCTCGATGACGCTATCGGAGTCGGGCAGGAGGGATGGCTCATCGCCCGAGTCTTGGTCATTGGTAACGGTATTCGACGGGTCGTCTGGGCTATGTCCTTCGCTGGGGTTTGTTGTAGGCTGTCGGCTGCTGTCGCTATCCTCCTCAGTAGCAGGTGCGGCTACCGCACTGGGATGCTGGACTCCTTCATGTGCTGGTTCGGACACTGAGGAGGCATCCGTCTCGGGGACTTCCCCCGATCCTACAGCAGAATCCTGGCCGTATCCTGCGCTGTCAGTCTCTGCGGCGTCTCCTGTTACCGAAACTGACTTATCAGCTGTAGTTACGCCGCCCACGCTGTGCTCCGTCTCCTTTCCACCGTGGTCCACCTCCACTCCGCTGTGGTCCACCTCCACTCCGCTGTGGTCCACCTCCACTCCGCTGTGGTCCACCTCCACTCCCTCACGGTCCGTCCCCACTCCGCTGAGGCCCGGCGGGCACGGCTCCTCGTCTGACATCTCCCCAGACCCGGACGCCGACCGCTCCTCCGCCAAGTGGACGGGCATCAGGTGTTTGGCAGCCTCCAGAAGCCGGCGCGGCCAGGCCAGCAGCCGCTCCAGCCGTCCGGGCCGGCAGAGCCGCTGGCGGGGCCGCGGCGGCGCGTGCGGACACAGTCTCAGCAGCCAGCGGAGCCAGCGCTGCACCAGGCGCCGGCCGACGTGGGCCGCCTCGGAGCGGCGCCGCAGTCGTCCGCTCACCTGCGGGGGACCGGCCGCGTCGCCCGTCACCCACGCCCGCTCCGCCGCGATCGGCCGCTCCAGGTAGGTGAGCGCAAAGTCGAGCTCGGCGCCGTCTCCTGATCCTGTCGTCTCTCCTGCCGCCGCCGGCCGGTCGGGCGAGTCTGGGTTCGGCGCGGCGGCCGGCAGGTGCTGTCCGAGCTCCCGCAGCGCCTCGTCCAGCCGCTGCCGGTTGGCCTCCAGCTCGGCCAGGTTGGCGCGGTAGCGAGGTGACAGGTGGAGCGGGCCGGCCGGCGCGCCGCCGCCCGGGTCCGGCAGCAGCGGCCGCCGGCCGCCCGCCGCCTCCTGCAAGCAAGGGCCGGCCGTCACTCGGCCGGTAGCGGGCGCTCCCACCAGAGGTCAGTTATAGGGGTCACCCACCAGGTCACCGGGGCACTACTACAGCCCAGTCAGCCCTGCACCAGTTACAGCCGCGCCCGGCGCCGGTTATATACATTACAAAGCGGGCGGGCGGCGGAAGCGGCAGCGGCGGCAGTGGCCGGGAACGGCGGTTCCCTCACCTGGTCGGCAGCAGGCGGTGGCGAGTCGACGCTTTCGACGATCGTCTCCACGATAGTCTCCATACGCGGCGCTGCCGCCGGTGGCGGGGCCGGCGTGTCCACTGCAGCGAGAGCACGGGCAGCGGTCAGCACTCAGCGGAGTTGGCATTCATAGACGTTCTGCCAAGTGTCTTATAAATAAATCATGCGCTTCTTCTCAGAATAACACCATTGGACTAAATTTTCGCGTCTAAAGCAGTTTCAGCTTCCTATAACCAAGACTGTGCGACCTAAGCGGCACATCTTCCTGATAAGACTTTCACCACTGACAGCGGGACATTGCGAAACCGACTCTAACCCTATCGACAAATCATGAACAAAACTCGGCTGATCATGACTGTTGAGCTCATCTTATTCAATATCTAATTCAACGTGAGCCGGCTCCTCACAGAAATTGTCTCACTCAAGCCAGCTATCAACTCACTATGCGCCTTGTTTAACTCCAATTCTTATAACACGTTTACCCAAGCTCACTGCCTCCCTCTTCATTCACACCACTTAACTCACTCTCACCTCTTCACTCAAACTCACCGTGTGCGATGCCCTGTGACTGGACGTAGAAGAGCGCCAGGAGGACACCGACGCCGGCCAGTAGGACGAGGAAGACGAGCACGGTCAGACAGCTGCTGCCGCCCTCCGAGTGGTGCTCCTTTATCTCCTCATCGCCGGTTCCCTCGTCGCTGACTGAGTCTGAACACGGCCAGGGAGGGGCGGGGGAGAGTCAGCTAGCGGGTAAAACAGTCGAGCAGGTAAAGCAGGAGGTAAGCAGGCAGCGGGTTAAACAGTCAAGTCGGACACAAACAGGGAACAATGAGAAAGGGGGAAGAATGCAAACGCTCGCTCGGTGAGAGACCACCAAGACTGCCGAAGGGTAAGCGATTTGGTTCTACAGAAAAAAATGACGTGCTTTGTTCGGTGTGGACTGTGGACTGTAGAGGGAAGCCTTCTATAATTATTTGCGATATTGACAGAAGTGAGCCTGCAGCTCGCACACATACATTGCGGGTGGCAGCGGGTTCAGGTGATAAAACGTTGGATAATCTACACTGTTTTTTTCTCGCTTATTTTAAGACGCATCAGTCAGGTTTGGCTATTTATGTTAGGCTAATTTCGACTGAAATACTTCTCTAGCTAAACCAACTGGCATAACAGCTAGCCCACTAGGCATACTTTTATTTCATGATCCATATTAGTAGGGAAATTCAAAGAAAAAGGGAGCCGATGTAACTATTTTCTACAGGTTAGTGGACAAACCAAATCACACACCACACGGGTCAGAGTACACGGGCCCGGGAGCAGGACCGCCAAATATCAGCGTAACCCATCAGCGGGTGGCCAATTGACCGCCCTACCAGCCCAGTTACTTCATAACATCGTCGGGTTGACAGTTTGTCCACCGGGGGCCCTGACGACGCTCATCGCAGTCACGTGGCGTCAGCTGGAGCGGCCGGCTTATTATAGCCCGGCGGCGGCGGCCGTCTTGGCAGCGGCGGCGGCCGGTCGAGAGCGCGGTCCGTCGAACGGTACGAGCCGCTCGGCAGCGGCGGAGAAGGGCCACCCGGCACCGGCCCCTGAGGACGCCGTCAAGGGCCGGACTGCGTTCATTGGGGCGCGTACCTGACTATACCACCACCCGAACGGCGTCACCCGTTGCCACGGGTCACTAAACGCTCATTTACAGCGACTGACACCACACGGTACAGGTGTTATCGACCCGTGCTGCGCCCGGTAGCAGACGGTGTCGACAGCCGTCAGTCATGACCGGGCAGGTGACCGACGGCGTCAGATCCGGCCGTCTGCTGTACTCTCGACCATCAGAGGGGCGGCTCATAGCCCTCACTACGGGGCGGAGGGCGCTGACAGCGGCTGACGGACAGCGTGCCGCTCGTGCCTGAACGGAGCAGGGGCCGTTACGTGCAGCCCCGAATCAGTGGCAGCACTCAGAGGCCGCAAACCGGGTGTGCCATCTGCATACATACAGAGCTCAGGCTTAGATCGATGACGGGATCTGGCCCGGATCGCTGGAGGATTGCTGATTTAAGCGGGTCTGGGTCGGGTCCGGATCGCTCGCCGGACCAATCCGGGATTTCTGCCCGGATCGAGCTGTGGCCATTGACCCTATCGGGCCCGGATCGCCGGGCGGGCGGCGTCGTGTTCCGGTCTGCCGGGCTCTCTCGGGCGCCGCGGCACCCGTCTGACCGGTACCGGGCGGCCAGCGTGGCAGACGTGGCCGCCGACACCGCCAGCGTGGAGATGCGCCACCCCCGCCTCCGCCGCCCCCGGACCGGTGAAAGGGAGCCACGGCGGCGGCTGAGCGGGACCCGTGGCGACATGCGTGCCGCAAAAACAGCGCTGCGGCGACCGGCCTCCGCTCGGCCGGCCGATTTGCGCCGTATGGACTACAGGCTGAGGCTGGGCAGAGTGGGGAGACGACGGACAGAGCGGGGGATGCGCCAACAGGTTCGCTGTTTGGCGAGATGTAGGTGATAAGTCCGGACTAAGACGCATCCAAGCAAAAATTAAGAAAGAGAACGGGTATCTGAGCTGGTATTTGCCGCAGTGTTGCAACTCGAGCAACGAATATCTTATTCTTGACGATGCGTTTTGAGGGTCAGAGACTTAGGAAGCTGAATCAAGAGTGCAGGTATTCGAGAACACTAACAATTAATGAAATAACTAAAAAGTAATGGAACTAAAAACATGCCGGCCAAAAGTGAGGAGCTATCAGGGCTCACCATTTCAGAAGGTGGGCTTTTCCCAGCCCCGAGCGGCGCACATCTGCCGTAAACATTTTCCCAGACCCGTGTGTCGCAACAGCTCGGTAAGACGTCATAACGCCATGCGAGCTTCGTAAATTCCGGCTTGGGCAACCGGGCAGAAACAGACCAGCGTCAATCAGAAACCATTGCAGACCAGCTGAGATGCTAATAAATATTGACAGAATGCACCCTGTCTCACAGGCACGGGATGATGTTGCCAAATACGGAGAACCCGAGTCTACTACGCAGCTGGAGGACTCGGGACGGTTTGTCCCACTCTTCGACGCGTGACTGTTGACGGGGTTGGAGAGACGGGTCTGTCTCCCCTCTCCGACCTGTGGTAGGTACTGGGGAGAAGGGGCCGACAAACTCGCCTCCCCGACCCGTGGTACTGTGAAGGTAGGACAGCCGCCGGAGCCCGTCGGGACACCGCTCGATCGGTGACGCAGCTCCGCGGAGCGTCGGTTGGCAGCGGCGCCGGTCAGCACCGACGGGGACGACAGAGCTGGCGGGCGGTGCGTCGGCCACCGGTCGGACAGCGACAGTCAACCACCGACGGAGACGTGTCAAACCGAGCCGACCGACGGCGGCCGCACGGAAAGGATTGACTCGGGAGAGGGGCCGTATGGGCGAGCCAGCGTAACATCGGCGAAAATAGACCGAAAAAAAACTTCCGTGGCTCATATGAAAACTACCAAAAACGTTTTCTTTTCTGCTCTCCTTCTGCACCCTACCCTCTCATCTTATCACACCCCATCCTGTCTTCTCTCAACCATGATATGATCATGGCTCGGCTTTCTCCCAGCACGTCTCCGCTGGCCCTGGGTGTCGGAGTCTCGGACTGACCGCCAATTGTCCCCGCTCGGTACCTGGCCGGGCCGATGTCCAACTCTCCACCATTCGGCAGGGCCGCCGGGGCGGGCCAGCTTCCCACGTGCTACACCAGCGGGCGCCGGTAGTGCTGCGGCGTCCGGGCCGCTCTAGAGACGCTCGAGCTGCGATAACAGCTAGTCGCACCAGTCTGACGCTCGTCTCCGAGTCGTTGTGCACTACCCTGGTTAGACGACCTCCCGTCACCTCTCCTCTCTCACATCAGCTCTGTGTCTCGGTGTGGACAGTCCGGTCCGGCAGCAATGAATGCCGAACAGCAGAGGCGCCAGCATTGACATCATTATTAGTTCCATGGACAACAAAAGTGCATTTTGTGATCTCCCAATGTTCCGGTACCCATTGAAAAAGGAATCAACACTTCCGAGTGTCTTTATATCAAACTATGTTACTGCGCACACGCAGGGACGCAGATGCAACTGCATTTGGTTGTTAGTACAGGTATAGCTACTGACCACTCATGATCCCTTGACTGGTTTAGAGCACACAGCAATCTGAGTGTCTGACTACCGGGTCTGGCTGAGCCATACCTGGCTCTACATAGAACTGGTCATCGTCCCGCACATCTGGCTGAAAGTCATCCTCCCACCGTTCGGCACCCGGGGCCTCTGCGCGTCCTGACCAAACGGTGCACAATACAGCAACATACATTTGAGCACATAACACATACACATAACCAGAAAATGTAGACAATGTAAATGTAGGAAATATAGCGGATACAGGCTGGAGGATGAAAGAGGGATGAAAGAAGACAGGATAGGGTGAGATAAGATGAGAGAATTGGGTGCAGGAGAGAGAGAGAGAGAGAGAGAGAGAGAGAGAGAGAGAGAGAGAGAGAGAGAGAGAGAGAGAGAGAGAGAGAGAGAGAGAGAGAGAGAGAGAGAGAGAGAGAGAGGGAGGAGGGAGGAGGGAGGAGGGAGGAGGGAGGAGGGAGGAGGGAGGAGGGAGGAGGGAGGAGGGAGGAGGGAGGAGGGAGGAGGGAGGAGGGAGGAGGGAGGAGGGAGGAGGGAGGACAGGAGGGAGAGGGAGATCTTACATGTGGTGCAAACACAAGAAAAAAAAAACAATCAAACCTGACCTAAGGTGATGACAAACCAAAATGTTCAGGCCTAGTACAGAAATATAATGATAAGCAGGTCTGCTGGTATAAAATTGTGAAGTTCACCTACATATTCAGAAGGGTAGGCACTAGCCAGTAGCCACCTACAATTTTTACCCCATCTCAGCTCAGTAGTATGAAAATAATTGAGTTTCCAGATAATCCTTTTCCCATTCACAAAAAGTAAGAAGTGCATTTTGTCACAGCTTACCCTTCTTCTTCCTCTTGTCCTTGCGCCGTCTCGCTTGTGTCTCTGAAGACATTATACACTGCTATTATAATCTCAGCAGCTAGTATTAATGAATGGTAGAGCCTGAAAACAGAGAGACAATCAATCACAATGAATTTGACTGCCTACGAGATCAGAGATCACTTCCACACACCCACCAACTCAACTATAGATCATTTCTATCAGACACCAGGGGTCTCAATTCTCATATCAACTGGCAGAACTAGGAACTCTGGCAAAAGAGACCTGCTATAGGGAACCTGATGCACTAGTTGTAGTGACTAGACTGAGCTAATTGTAATGGAAGAATGAACTGTAGGCACTAGGCTGACATGTGCATGACATTTACAGGGTGGTGTTGACATTTCACAGCGAGTGCTGTGTGCAGCAGTGTATTGGCTTTCCATAAAAACATCAACAAACTCAGACACTCACAACCCTCGAGCAGCAGGTTACATTAGTCAAATGTTCAAATACCGCACCAATACATCAGTGCAGCGTGCAACCATGAAACACTGCCCTGGGCATACTCCCCCAGGTCAGGCATGAGCTGAAATTGATGTGATGGCTAAAATTGTAATGAATATGAATTGTGATCTACTATGGACGTCAAACCCCTTGAGACCCCACTTTTTTGCGATAATTTTTGAATGCGTCAACTCTCGTTGACAATATTCTGGCAATGTGTGTTTCAGAACCTGCCGAAACTTTTATTACAAGGGTATTTTGACGCCAAACGATTATGAAAGGTACTTCTCGTTCACTCGTAATGCTAAGGTCAATTCAGGCCCGGGCAGAGGCTTGCGCTCGGCTACACTCGAGCCCCGCCACCAGCGCCATCTGCTCTTAATGTCATCTACCAGCGCCCGCTACCGCTACCAGCTACCGCCCACCATCAAGCCTGAATGGAGCGAGAGACGCGAGTGACCGGTCGCCGGGCAAGGAGCGCCGAAGGGGTAGGGCGGAGGGTAAATGTCAAGTTTAAGTCCTAAGAAGATTTCATTGATAAATTTTTCATATTTTTACATTATTTGACATCCTGAATCCAAAAATGATACTCATATGTCTCGCAAATAAAAGAAAAAAACATAATCAAACCTGACCTAACCTGACCTACATACCTATAACTTACCAACCTACAACCAACAAACCTACCCTAACCTAACCTAACCTACAAACCTACCTACCTACAACCTAAAACCTACAAACCTACAACCTAACCTAACCTAAAACCTAAAATTTTTGCTGTTTCATATTCGTATCAACAGCGCCACAATTGTAGTTAGGACCTAAACTTGACATATACCGGGCGGAGCTTAGCGCTGACGTCATTACGTGGCTCCGCCCCATAAGCGCGTAGCCTCTACCCGAACAGCAGATTCGTTCCGTGAAATTTAACATTACGAGTGAATGAAGTACCTTTCATAATCGTTTGCCGTCAAAATACCTTAGTAATTAAAGTTTCGGTAGATTCTGAAACACACATTGCCAGAATATTGTCAACGAGAGTTGACGCATTTAAAAATTATCGCAAAAAAGTGGGGTCTCAAGGGGTTTGACGTCCATAGTAAGCTCCAGTAATACCCCCGATCCCTAATCAAGTTACGCTATGTGCGGATAAAGCACGTACAGAGCGACACGACATCCTACACATCATTAACACCAATCCAACAAAATCCCGATAGACAAAATGGGAATTCATCAAGGTAGCTAATACACGATAACTTTTACTGAAAACTTACCACCAGTCCACACCTAACACGCTTCAGGCGCCGCCGGCTAACGTCTACGCCACGGTCATAGAATACTTGAGAATACTAGTCTACGCGGGCGTGGAGATCAACAAGACCTCACGTCGCTAACTTTACACCATCTGTTCGACTTACACAACTTAGCGCTTTTCATCAGATGACGTCGAATAGAACGTTTTTCGATGACGTCATTAACTTTCAGACTTAATCATTCCTCAATATTCATTGGTCAAACTTGGCCAGATGACGTCAAATTGTCCTCCTCGTTGCTCGTTACCATAGCATCTGCCAGCACCAAACTTGGGTATCACTGTGAACGAACAGAAATATGCGGTTATCGCCAAGAGGGTCAAAGACAAATCTTTGCTACCAATTTTTTTTTTTACCATTTTCAGCGTGTCTTTCCGGGTCGGAGTTTGACAAAATGTAAAGCGTTTCAGCACGATGACGCTTGCAAAAATAACTTTTTGCTTTTACAGTAGATAACTACAATTCTTCTGTATGCTGCGACACACGACCGAATGGATGGATGAACTCGGTATGTGAAAAATGGCACATGAATCCCACAGAGTTCAGTGATCCCATCTCAGCCATCTCACTTCAAAACCTCACATATTCAAAAACGCTGATGAGTTTTTCAAAATTTTCGAATACTGATTATATGCATTATGTATTCGAATCTTAACCTAGGGAAACATGAGCCATATAAAGAAAGGCTGTTTTATGAGAAGTTGAATAGAAACCTGTAGCGCCCCTCATGGCGAATGCGAGAAACAATGTTTTACAGATGTCGCTGCAAGCGGAATTCACGGAGGATGATTTCGTTAGCCATGAACCATTTGGCCTTTAATGACCTAGCATGGCGTCTTATCTCTATTTTCTGAGGCATACCTAATGGGTTACAGACATAATTTTTCAATTTAGTGTCTATATAAGAATCTTTTATGAGAAATCCAATGCTTCAGAAGGGCGACTAATCGCCGAAAAACGCGCAAGTTGTATTTTTCCCAATTGACTTACCTACAGTACAGGCTCGAGGTCTCCCGTTCCACACAAAGGAAAGGTTTCAAAGTTGAGCCGTGTCTGCGCGTGTTCTAGGCTTATTCGGAGCCCGTATTACCCCAGGCCCAGCTCTCGTCTCAGTCGGATAGATGAAGGTGACGCCGGTGGCGGTACCTAAGTATCTGCCTAATAACTTACCTAAATAGCATGTGCCACCTGTTGTGGGATGTCAGAACCTCTTTTGTACCTAATTTTCCTCGAATCAAGAAAACCATCCTGAGGCTAGTGGGAAAATAAAGCGAGGGGCCAATGAAATATGAACAAGCTGATCGTAGGCACCCCTGGAAGACTGGAAACCGAGCCCGAAAGCCCGGAAATGGAGATGGCCGGCCTACGACCCCACAATGTCAATGTAAAGGCCAGAGGGCCGGCACGAGTCGCTACATTCGAGGGTGGGCCGGTGCGGCGGCAGGGCGCGCCTGTCTCGCCCAGTGACTAGTCGGCCAGTCGCTCCCGGCGCGGCGCCGCTACCCGACAGCACGGGATCCCGAGAGTCGTCTCAAGAGCCGCCCTACCACTGGTGAGAGGACCAACACTTGGGCTTCCTCAGCAGCTGCATCGCTGTAGGTGAGTGGATGGTTCCTGAACTGACCGTCGACCGATTTTTTCAATCCTTCGGGCAGATAACTTTAATCACTTACTCGTGAAGATGAGACAGAGCTGCTCGTTTCAGCTCCGCATACTATACCTACATGACCCATTTGGGACAGGTCCTGATGACCCATTTGGAGCAGGTCGTGACCCTGACTGGAGGTCAACGTTTAATTTGACCTCACCGGTAGTCAAGCCATATCACTCGGCTCATTCTATTGACTATTGAGAGGAATGCGATGGTGGTAAAACTGTTCTCGTCGCTAGGCTGAGATAATATGATATCGCGGAAGGACGGTTTTTGAAAAAAAAACTTTCTTTGGCCTTTTTATTTTTGTTGTTTATTGGGGCTTAAGGGCGCGCCGACTACAAGGTCATTTTGCGCCCATAACTATATACAAGTAAAGCAAGTGTGTCACAAGAAAACCGACGTAATAAAAGGCTTAAAAAAAAGCCTAAAAGCTGGTTAAAAAGAGCAAAGAAGGGTAAAATACTCCAAGCGTATCGTAAAAGACAGCTGACTAGGGGTAAGGACTAGGTTAGAATAGACGTATGGACTAGTTGGTTTGGTATCAGATCGAGTAGATTACTTGGAATTTGATTGAACGGATAAAGGAAAAGATGTTGCCAGATAAAACCCAGGGTGACTCGTCACCCAGCAAGTGGCGGACGGTGATATCCGGAGCGATGCGGCCCAGGTAGCGAGTCCGGTCCGGTTCCAAGCGTCGACAAGATAAAAGCACGTGGGCGACGGTGAGAGGCACGGCGCACCCGCCGCAAACGGGCTGCTCATCTCCGCGGAGAAGGTGGCCATGCGTCGCATACGTATGACCGATGCGGAGCCTGCATAAAATCACTTCGTTTGACCTGTTGTCTTGCGAGCAAGACCTCCAATGCTCCAGAGTCGGCTTCACCTCTCGGAGCTTCCTGCCTCCACGCAGGCGCCACTCTGCCTGCCACTCCGTTAGAATAAAAGATCGTACAGCAGGGTAAAAATCACGCGCCGGCAATGGCAACCGACGAGTGCAGGGTGCTGCAGCAGCACGCCTTGCAGCCGCGTCTGCCAGCTCATTGCCATGAACGCCAACGTGACTGGGAATCCAGCAGAACTGAACAGATTTGCCCGATTGTTCTACTGACTGAAGCCGAGCTAAAATGTCTTGAACGATCGGGTCGGATGGATTAAAACTCCGTAGGGCCAACAGGCTGCTTAGGGAGTCCGATAAAATCAAGTAAAAAAGTCCGTCCGATACCTCAATAAAACACAAAGCCTTCTCGATGGCAACAAGTTCCGATGAAAACACCGAGGCGAAAGATGGCAACGAAAATGAACGGGTATCGTCGCCAGCGACGAAAGAACAGCCCGCTCCCTCAGGTGTTTTAGAGCCGTCTGTGAATACAGGAATAAAACCATCGTAAGAGGCAAGGTGTTCCAAGGCTCGGACTCGTGCCTCTGCAGGCAGCAACTTGCCCTTTGGAACTGCAGAAAGCGAAAGATCCACCTGTGGACTGACAATTTTCCACGGTGGAGGGGGCGCAGCCCAGGTACGACGAACGTTACGCAATGCTATGTCAGCTATTGAAAACAGTTCTTTCATGCGCACTCCGAACGAGGGTCGTAACCTTCCGTTACATCGGGTGGCATGCCGTGAAAAAACGTTTGGGTACGTCGGGTGCATAGGAAATTGGCGCAGTTTCAGCGCGTACCGCATACCCAACATCTGACGGCGGAGTGAAAGTGGCGGTTCATGCGCCTCAGCAAGAATGCTGCTCCTGGGCGAGGTGCGGAATGCTCCAGTGGCTACTCGGAGTGCTACATGATGGACTGTATCCAGGACCCTCTTGCTAGATTCACTCGCTGAATCGTAGACAAAAGAAGCGTAATCTAGCTTCGATCGTACAATAGATCGATATAGAAGAAGAAGGGTCCTGCGGTCCGCACCATAAGATGTGCGGGCGACACATTTCAAAACGTTCAGGGATTTAAAACATCGTTCCCGAAGCGTTCTAAAATGTTCTTTATACGTTAAACGACTGTCAAAAAAGATCCCAAGAAACTTCGCCACCGGACGAGTAGGAATCACCTGTCCATAGAGCTGGATTCCCAAGGGAAGGTCGCCGCAGCGGCGGCGGCAAAAGTGCATAGCGACGGTCTTCGTTGTTGAAAAACGAAGACCGTTGTCACGACTCCATCTCTCCAACCGCGTCACTGCAAGCTGCAGCTGTCTGGCCATATGCCGAGTGCTTGAAGCGGCAAACCAAATGGCAAAATCATCCACGAAGAGCGATCTACCGATCGAGACCGGCAGATCATCAGCGATGTCATTAATCGCCACTGCAAAGAGCGCCACACTAAGCACCCCGCCCTGGGGAACTCCGTTCTCTTGGGTAAAACTGCTCGAAAGACTACTGCCAACTCGGACTTTGAACCGACGACCCGATAAAAAGTTCTTAATAAAGAGGCCCATCCGGCCGCGTATGCCGTACTTGTGTACTTTGGAAAGTATTCTGTGTCGTAACACTGTATCATAGGCCGCCTCAATATCAAAGAACAGTGCTCCAAGGTGCTTCTTTTCAGTAAAACAGGTGCGTATCTCGGTGTCGAGGGCTAAAATGTGGTCAACAGGGCTGCGGTGCATTCTAAAACCGCACTGGGCGTTTGTAAAAACACCGTGATGTTCCAAAAACCAGCTAAGACGCACATTGACCATCTTCTCCATCAGCTTTGAAAGCGATGATGTGAGAGAGATGGGCCGATAGTGGAGAGGGTCATGTCCCGACTTGCCAGCCTTCAAGATAGGAATGATAGTGGCTTCCCGCCAGGTCTCAGGGAAAGTGCCAGTCTCCCAAAGCGAATTGAAAGTTGCTAGCAGCGCCTCGAGGGCAACTGCTGGGAGATGACGGAGCATGTCGTTGTGGACAGCATCCGGACCTTCTGAGACGCTGCGCAACGAGCTGATGGCAGACGTGAGCTCAGCCATAGAGAAAGGCTCATTGTACATCAAATTTTCAGCTGTGCTGAAGTCCACGGCGGCTGGTGCAGGTCGTGAGGACGGCTCTCCTCGGCAGCGCTGATAGAGTGCACGGCCTATCGTCTCTGCGACGTATAAAGGGTGGGATATGTCCGTGTTGTTCACTCTTAAAACCGGAAGCGGAACAGAGCTGAACCGGCCTTCAATGCGCTTCATGCGTGCCCATATCTGGGTCGTAGGAGTAAAACGGTTTAAGGAACTCACGTACGTGCGCCATGAAACAGCCTTTGCCTCTTTAAAAACGCGACGGGCAAAAGCCCGCGCTTTCTTAAAAGCGATGAGGTTCTCAGTAGTACTACTCCGGTCAAACTTTCTAAAAGCGCGCTTCCTGGCACGAATCGCATCTCCGCATTCCTTGGTCCACCACGGGACCGGAGGACGACGAGGCTGACTCGACGTCTTGGGTATGCACCCGTTTGCGGAGTCAATGAGTAAACATGTAAAATCATCTGTAGACATCACAGAGGCGTCGGCTCTGGATAAAACCGTGGCCTCTACGGCGGCCTGGAATTCGCCCCAGTCGGCCTTCCGAACATTCCACCTAGGTGGACGGTTGCCTGACACTGGGGACTCCTGGTGCTCCAGCCACACTGGGAAGTGGTCGCTCCCGAGTGGGTCGTCATGGACGGACCAGGTAAAAAGCTGAGCTAGCCGCGGACTGACTAAGCTCAGGTCCAGAGCCGATGTTTGACCGGAGGGTGTTGTAAAATGGGTGCGCTGTCCTGTATTTAAAATACACAGCGCCTCATCGCGGATAAAAGATTCTAAAAGTCGACCACGAGTGCCAGTCGTGTCGCATCCCCACGCCAGGCTATGGGCATTAAAATCGCCGACTACCAGGACCGGAGGTGGAAGCTCATCGACAAGTCGATGCAGCTCAACCACCGGGAGCGCTATACCTGGTGGTAGGTATAAAGAGCACACTGTCAGTTCCCGGTGGTTGAAATCAACTCTGGCGGCCACCGCCTGCAGGGGAGTCTGCAGCGGCACCTGGCGAGCAGGTACGCTGTGGTGAACCGCCAGAAGCACACCTCCATGGGCAATGGTAGGGGTGTCCAGGTCTCTTCTAAAAACAGAGTAGCCCTTGATGGCAAAGGTAACGTTTGGCGCTAGCTTGGTCTCCTGGAGACCTAAAACAAGGGGTGTGCGCCAACGGATAAGAGACTGTAGGTCCTGGTAGTTGGCCCGGAGGCCTCTACAGTTCCACTGTAGAATAAAAGGCGTGGTTAAAAAGGCGCAAAAAGGGCGCGTATAACATGAGGCAAAGGCGCACACAGATACCTGACTGACCACAAAAAAGGTAAAAAGCACCGAGAGAAATGCACCTGGTAAAAAAGCGCAATAGCGCGAAAAAGATAAAAGGATAAAAGAGGAAATGACTAGACTGAAAGACTAGACTAGGTCCTCTAACTCCGAGGAGGCGCTCCCCCCGTAACGGATACGGGGATGCCCCGAGCCCTCTCGGTGTAGCCTCCCTTCAGCAGAGGCAGATCGGGCGTGGCTCGAGCCCTGCTGGGGCTTTTTCGCCCGGGGGGCGTCACCCTCCGAGGGTGACCAGCTCGGGGGCGTCTGCCGCTTGGCGAGGCGCCCTGGAGCCGCGGAGGTCTGTTGCCGCCCCGACGGGGATGTCGAGGCGGCGGCCTGTGTCCTCGACACAGGCGTCTCTGGCAGCGGCGGTGGTGGCCGCCGCTGCGGAGGTGGAGGGGGCGGCGGGGGACCCATGATGGGCCGAGTCCCCGCCTCAGGTGTCTCCGGGGTGTCAGCGGCAACAGCCGCTTTGGCACTCCCGGAGGCGGAGTCGGCAGACGAGGCTTCCTTAGCCTCGAGGGCCTTCTGGACGAGGCGAGCCCTCCTCGCCTCTCGTGCCCTCCTCTCCTCCTCCCCCCGCCGCAGCGCCTCCTGCACCGCCGTGGGCGGTCGGGGGCGGGGCGGGGTGGGTGGCGCCTTACCCTGCGCCGGGGGGCGCCGACCACCCTGTCGGCGCTGGACGACGGCCCAGCCGTCTCCATCACCGTTCGCGGCTGGAGCGGGACTGGGTGGACCCCACACTGACTCTTGAGCAGCCTGCTCTGTGTTGCTCGGCGGCGCATGAGGCGCCGTGGTGTCCGCTGAGTCACCAGTGGCTACGACGGTGAGGCCGAATCGTTTGAGAAGCTGCACGAGCTGTGCCACACTCATCTGGGAGGCATCGGTAGAGTTTGTGACTCTCACCTTCTGGGCATACGAGGTCTTCGGGTGACTCTGGTTGTACACCTCCCGGGCCTCTTTGAAAGACAAATTTCTGGTAGCCTTGATGGTCATGATCTCTTTCTCCTTGACGTATGCAGGGCAAGACCTATCATACGCGGAGTGCGGCGTCTGCCCCTCTCCGCAGTTGACGCATCGGGGGGTCTCCGAGTCACAGGTTTCGTCAGTGTGGTCCTGCGAAGCACACTTGGAGCACGTGGGTCTTCCTCGGCAGTTGTCCTTTGTGTGGCCGAAACGTTGGCAGCGGAAGCAGCGCATGGGCGCTGGGACGAAAGGCCGCACGCGAACCTTCACGTAGCCCACGCGAATCTCACTCGGCAAGTCAGTGGAGTCAAACGTCAGAATTATGTTGTTGGTCGAGACCGTGCCTCTCTTCGTCATGATGCGGCGAGCCGCTGTCACGCCGAAATCAGCGAGCCCGTCCGCTATGTCCTCGTCGCTCACTCCCCTCAGATCGAAACAGTTAATGACCCCTCGTGAGGAGTTCTTAGATCGGTGAGGTTCCACTGTAAGCGGGATGGAGACGAGCCTCCGGCCGGATGCCCGTCCCTCGGAGAACACGAAGCGAGTAGCGTCCAACGCTTTCGCCGCCTCCTCGCTTTTCCTGAACTCGACCTCCAGCGCGCCGTCACGCATCCGGTCACAACGAACGATCGAACCAAACCGGTCACAGCCATCCTTCCGCTGGAAGGGCGACAGAGAGCTCAGCTCCCTGTCTGCGCTCCGGAAGATAAGGATCTTAGGAGATCGTGGACCTTTGTCGAGCACCGTTCGCCTGTCGGCCGAGGCCAACGGGCGAGGATCGGCCGAGGCCGAGGGATTGGACTGGGGGGAAGGGGGATCGGTCAAGTTATCCATGTGAAAGAGTTGGTCTCCGCCAGCTCGGCCGCCGACGCTCCGCAACGGCGCCGCTACAAGGCCTGGGACGGCCGAGCTGACTGTACGGGACTTGGCGGCACCTTCCGAGGGGGAGAGAGAGGCTCACCACCCCCCACGATCGGATACCGCCTCCTCCCTTGACGCCTCGCCGAGTCACCGCCAGGGGCAGCGACAGATCAGCCCCACCGACGGAGGACGAGCACAAGTGCCCGAACCCCGCCGGCGACACCTCTCCGACACCACCCCCGGCTGCATCACGACTGGGAATGGCTCCTCAAGTGCGGCGCCCCACTGAATGTCCCGCCCTTACAGAACTCAGGGCCAAAGAGGCGTGTTGCCCAGCCACCGCGACTGGCTCCGCACGGTGGGGGGCTCAACCTCCAGGATCCCGTTGTCCTGGGGTACGGGTCGGCTCGCCTAGCCTAGTAAAACCGGCTGGTACCCGAGGGGACGCCACTCCCCTTACACTAGCCCAACTCGGCTGTGTTCCTGCGGGTGCAAAAACAACGAAAAAGGGGAGAAAAGGAATCATAAAGCTGTGATCGAACGAAACGCGGACATCCGGTGAGAAGCAAAGCAAAAGCAAACAAAGACCGCTCAAGAGAAACAAAACCACGGAAACCAAGAAAAGTCGGGCCGTACCATCTGTCCATCCAGCGATCAAAGCAAGTCGTAGGCAAGCATGGGTCAAGCTGGGGCCGAGGGGGCGCTACTCCCCTTGCTGGCCGAGGCCAGGGACGCCGCGGGGCGAGGGCCCAAGGAGCCCAGTCCAACAGCGACCCAGGCCACTGCCAACCCCCTGCGGGGCCAATCCTGCAGACAATCCATCCAGTAAGCAAGGCAAGTCCAGGTCAAACGCGAGTCAAGCTGGGGCCGAGGGGTTCTTTGGCCTTTTTAATCGAAACGTTTGGCTTGAGGTAGAACATTTTGGTATATTGAGTCAGGCCTTTCAGCTTTCGATTGAGTTTTCTACGCCCTGCTACCTCAAAGTTCACGAGCTGCAGGGCCGGCGCGCATGTGGGCAATACGGGATAGGATATTGTCGCCTCGATGTACGGGTTAACCCTCGCCGAGCGATGGGGTTGATACAACCCCCTAAGGTTTTTCGCCAATAGCGTAAAAACGGCCGCCAAATTTGGCATATACCCTCTGAGACCTTTTGACATTATCTATCCTGAAACTTTTAGGTCAGGTCACCAGGTCACAAAAACCGGTACAAGTTGGGGTAAAATTGGACTAGTTTAGCGACACAGAACGACAAAATTTTTCGTTAATAGCGTTAGTGCCGTGGCACGTGGCGCTACCAAATTTCAGATACAACTTAGTGCATTCATTTGACATGTGTAATGGGAGTTTTGAGCTTCAGTGACCTCAATTCCAGTCACAAGGTTATAAAAACCGGCACCGACATAGGTACATTGTCAAAATGGCACTGAAAGTACACTATTTTTTTTCCATGAAATCTATAGAGCTGTTCATCGATTTGATTAAAACTTGCAGGATATGCTAAGCTCACCGAGTGCCATCACATGCAAGTCCCGTTTTTTTTCAAATTCGGTGGACCTGAGCCCTGAGGTCATCTAGAGGTCAAGACAAATTTTAAGGGAATTTGCCCGAATGGCTCAAACTGTAAAAACGAGAGATATATGCTCCATCTCAACGACTTTTTTGGGTTGTATTACTTATATAGTAATACTTAAGTTTACATCTATACTTAGTGTTTGCATGCTGCAAGAACGCTAGGGTCGGGTCAACTAAGGTCACCTGAGGTCAAACTACGTTTTCGCTAATAACTTGGCAGACAATGAGGCTAGAGCTTCAAAAATGGTGCCACTGTGTTCCTCGTGATCAGCCGAGTCAAACGATTTGCGATATGATTGTTCGCGTAATGATATATGTAGGCCCTCGCTTGGCAAAGGTTAAATCGTACAATTTTGACTTTAATAACTTATAACCTTCATTGACCTGAGCGAAAACATGACTTTTGCACTTTCGAATGAAAGCTACCGAATGACTCCTAGCATTTATGCTTACCTATAAGTTCTCCATGAGATAATCGGTATGGCCATGTTCGCCCACTTCCCAACCCTCGTGAGTCGTGACCTTTGACTGAGATCGCGCCCGGGCGCAGGTGAGGTCTAAAATACATAGTTAGGTATTTATTTTACATGTAAATACATATGTAGGCACTTCCTAATGCTCAATTTTACTAGATGCTTATACAGTCACCTGGCACCCGCCCTCTTATTTCAGAATCCGAGCTGTCAAAAGAACGCGGGCAAAGCCAATGAAGAGGTGAGGATGTTTAGGAACTGCTGTCCAGTTTCCTCGTTCCCGTCGAACGCAAAGAGCAGTGCTGCGCTGGTGTCGGTGGCCGTGTGCTGTCTGGTGGCGGTGACCCGACCCCGGGCCGTGCCGCTGGCCGCCCCCGCCGACACAGACGGCCGGATCGGCGGCCGGCCCATCGCCGAGCTGTGGGTGCCCAGCCGGCCGGCGCACGCCTGGTTCACCAACGCCCAATGCCGGCCGCTGCTCACCCGCTTCACGTGCGACCAGTGTCTGCCGCTCGTCTACCTGGCGTCGTTCCCCAGGTCGGGGAACACCTGGCTCCGCTACCTGCTGGAGGCCTCCACGGGACTTGTCACCACAAACGGTCATCCCGACTTCCGGACCTATCGAAATCAAACCTCGGACGGAATCATACTAAACGAGGAGCAGCTCTGGACTTGGCCAGTGGGGAATAAGGAGCTCATGAACTACGGCTATGTTGGTGAAAGGATCCCTTGGTCGCAAGGCGTAGGGATTGTTTCAAAGACGCATATGTTGCCCGAACCGTGGAGCAGAGCGGAGGCCGAAAACGCACCCCATGCTCTGTCGCCATTCCCGGAAACCGTCCCGAGGCGAGCTGTGCTGCTGATTCGCGACCCGTTCAAGGCCGTCATTTCCCTGAGGAAATATGGGGAAACGCAATCGATTCTCAACGAAAAGGATATGTCGTATCTTTTTCGGGGAAAGGGTTGGCGTAACTACTCCTCATACTTATCGCGCGTGTGGTTCAAAACCAACACACAGTGGCTGCAGGCAACCAACGAGACACATGTGGTGCTCTATGAGCGTCTGCGGCAGGACCCGATGGGGGAGCTGCGCGCGCTGCTGCGCTTCCTGCAGGTGGAGCCGGACCGGCGGCGGCTGGAGTGTCTGCGCGGCGAGCTGGAGGGGATCGCGCACAACCACCGGCACGGCGTGGTGCCAGACGGCGAGACGTACCCGCTGCGGGTGCGGGCCGAGCTCTGGAGCTACATCCACCAGCTGCACTGGCTCCTCAGAGACAGAGGTTACCCGGGACTGCCCCTGCAACAGTACTCGTTTGCAGACGAGTTTAGCGAAATAAATATACGGACGCATTGAGCATGATGCATGCGCTCAATATTTTCACCAAAAATAATTAGTCATCAACATGGCCTTGATTCCGCCAATGGCCAGCCCGTAGGCTATAACGGCTCGCAAAAAGGTGTCCGAACTAGCTCGAAAACGAGCTGTGCAATATCCGATGCGCGTCGCGCACTAGTTACCTATATGTGCGCCAGTGGAGTTAAGCTTCTCTCCGATATGCGAGTAGGTCAGTCAGACGAGGGTATTAACGGCTGGCCAGCGCACAGATATTCGGAGGAATCGAGCTACCCCCATTGTAAGCCGGGGAGCGCAACTCGGTACCCATCTGCAAAGCGTGCTCAACCATAGCATGTAATGCAATGTTTATAGGAATGTCCTACCAATCCTTTGTATACGTATGTAGTAGGGTGTGTCACTAATCGCAATGCAAGGTGCTCCATCGATTTTATTGTGCTCCACTCATGTGGAAAGGGCGTGGCATTGTTAATTTCCCGCAAATTTTAACCCCCAGGCGGCGCCGAGCGAGAGAAGTTTGCCCTATCTCACAACATAGGCGACCCTAGCGCCCCTGGCGGCTGTTTGTGAAACTAACAGGCCGTTGACTGTATGGGCTTATCCCTGCTCTCTGTAAGCGCGTCTAGGGACAAATAATAGTATGGGCAGATTGCAGAGAGTGCAAGCTAATGACGAATACCTATAATGAATACAATATATTGTCACAGGGGCCCAGGAACATTCTTCAAGTTGGGGTGCAAGCCCAAAATACCTGACATGACGCATATGAAATAGTAGCGTAGTCAGGGGGTCCCAGGAGGCACGTGCCATCTAGTCCCCCCCCCCCTATCGCATTCAGAGGACCCCTCGGGTCGGAGGGGCTCTGTGGCACCAGTTTACCGCTCAGGGTCTATGCTGGCCATATTTCGATTCAGAAAGAATAGGGCTCGTAACAGCACCTCGTGAGTCCAAAGAAGCCTCACTAAATTGTCCATGAGGGTTAAACGCCGGCTTCTGAAGGCTACTGGCGGCCTCTGAGGGCCCTTTACCGGCCTCTTATGGCCGCTAGCGTGCCTCTGAGAGTCCTTGCCGGCCCAAGAGGGGCCATATCTAGGGCCTTACGCCAGCCTGTAATCAGTAATGGCCTCACACCAATGTCTCTGACGGCCCCATTACGACGACTGTGAGACTGAGGGCCCTCACTGGTGCTTCTGAGAGCCCACCCGGCCATAAAGACCCCTGCGGTACCAAATGACCTCTGAGGGTCCACGCTGACTATATTTCAGCTGAGAAAGACCTCACAGGTCTCGTAAGAGCACCTCATGAGCCCCTAAGTAGCCACACTAAGATCTCCGTCAGGGTCTACGCCGGATTCTGAGGATCCCATAACGGAGACCGTGAGGGCCCTCAGCAGGGCCTCTGAGGGTTCACAACCAGCACCTCTGAGAGACCCACACCAGTAGTTCTAAGGGCCCATAAGGACACCACTGAGGGTTCCCCAAGCCAGTGCCACACCATTTATGCAACCCTATATTGGTGGCTCTGAGGTACCCACACCTGCGCCTGTGAGGGTTCGGCAAAAGCATATCTGACGGCCACCTACCTGCAACTCTGAGGGCCCTACACCAGAGACTGAGGGCCGCACTGGCGTCTCAGAGTACCTTGTCGGTATCTAAGGACCCCACAGGGCTTCTGAAAATGCCACCGGCCTCTGTGGGTCCCTTGCCGGTCTGAGGTCCCCCTCCCCGGTCGTTGAGGGCCCCCTGCCGACTTTTAAAGGATTCGCACCAGCAGCTCTAAGGGCCACACACCCACATGTAACGGACCCACACCAGTGTCTCTGAGGGTCCACAACGGCGTCTGTATTCTGTGAGGACCCTCACCGGCGCTTATGAGAGATTCACACCAGCACCTCTGAGGGGCCACACGGGCGTCTGTGAGGACCCCACACCAGTGCCTCTAAAGGCCCCTAATTGGAGGCTCTGAAGGCCCTGCATCGGTGATACTGAGGGTCCTACCAAAGGCACAACACAAGCCATTAGTCTCCTTCTGAGTCCCACACGCCGCCCTCCCACCATAGGCGGCGGAACGGGGAGGGCACCGGGGCACCGTGCCCCCTCTGATTTGGGCACTTTAACATTAGCCCTATGGGCGTTGCATGGAAAGAATGGGACCAAAAGTCGGCAGTGTCCCCCCCCCCCCTCCACTTAATTGAAGGTGTTCCGCCGCTACTGCCTCCCACCGGAGCGAGTAAACTTGTATCAATCAACGACTTTACCACCGTTGTACGTCATAATGTTCTCATCACGCCAAATCAAATACCATCCGGAACCAAAATGGTCCAGTATAAAATCTGACCTACCAAAGTTATGATCAAGTTCAGATAAAATCAAAGTGGGATGACAATAGCAGGTGTTCTTAAATCGATGCCGAATCAGCAGAAACCATTCACATGCAAGAGAAATACCTTGTGCTGATGTTTATATAAAAACAGACATGTAGGTCCATAAAAGGGAGCAGAGATCCTTCATCGTTGCATCAATGTTGAGGGGGCGGCGCCCACTCGGCTCTCAAGTTGGAGGGGGGGGGGGGGTAAGCGCCCCCACTGCCCCCCCCCCCTGTTCCCCGGGGTCTATGCAGTGAACGACGCTACAAAAAAAAAAACATGTGACACCTAATAGCAGGCACTATAAACATGCGCTCGTACGTATCCCGTCAGACCAGGACGGGGATCGGGGGTAGTACTATGCAATATACATTAACACAGAACTATTTCGTGCTTTAAGATGCATAACATCACATTTTCACCAACATTCTGAGTGCCAGACAAGCCAACAGCAAGGCGTCATTTCGGTAAAATGCATTTAATGATGATCGTAAGCTCACAAAGCATAGCGAGCGTGTTAGTTCAAAACATTGCCGCTAGGGGCGCTGAGGTCGCTAATGCTGAGAGATAGGCCAAAGTGTCGGCGGTCGGCGCCGCATGGGTGTTAATATTTGGGGGAAATAAAAAATGTCACACGGTTTCTACGTGTCTGGGGCACGATAAAATCAGTGGAGCACCATGTTTTGCGAAAAAAGTGCCCAAAATGACACACCCTAGTATGTAGCCAGGCATGTGTGATACGACAACCATGTGATGATTCTTCTGTTAACGCACCGATACCGAACCATATAGGTTCCTACTTCCTATATGCCATATGGGGATGAAGAGACCTTTAGATAGTGACTTGTTGGTGCCGGTGTTTATTTAGGTAGGTATATGTGAAAAATAAATAAGTTCCCAGACAAAAATAAATTTATTTTTACTCACAGGAAATGTGGTACATTCATAGAAAAAAATATAAACGAACATAAATGGCCTGGCTGGCGATACCAGCCATCCATTCACCCGGCTGCCACGGTATAGCTGCTATATCGAGCTACTGGTTTGACTTGAAAATAGCCTGCATGCTGGCCACACACAATGATGGGGAGGGGTGGGGAAGGCTGCATGACAATCTAGTCTCCCCCCAGTCAGCAGCCGCACTCGGCGCCACGCGTTCGTGGCCATGCGATGGCGTGCAGGCGTTCACTGCTTCCCCGCGTGACGGGCACCGACGGGGCGGGGCCGACTGTTCACACCTGTGGCGCCGTCCACTGTATTCGCTCGGTCCAGTTCCGGTCAGTTCCCACACCTAGCTCTGTTACCATCCGTCCCATTGCCGCAGCTCCCACCTGGCCTGGTGCGGCCGATAGGGACCTCAATGGACCTCCGACAGCCGACTGGTCACCTCTGCACACAGGCCGATAGACAAGCGGCGGTCCAAAAACAGACTGTATCCGCGTGGTCGTTCGGCCAAAACGGCGCCGACCGCCGGCCGCCGACTGCATTGTCTCCTCTGAATAGCGACGTTTGCCCGGCGGCCACAACCGCGGTCCGACTTCGATCGCACGCGCAGAGGTGAGGGTCACGGGCGGTGGCGTGACCGACCCTTCGGCTGTCACGTGGACCGTGGTGACCGGTGCGTGGCCGGCGGCGCTGACCGGCCACCGAGGTGCGGTCGGCTGACGGGCGCGGCGGGTCGACAGATCGGTCCGAGACCCGCGCCCGACAGGTCACGGTCCTGAGTCGCCGCGATGGGGATCACTGTGCTGCCGCTGGTGCTGGCGCTGGCTCTGATGACGGCCGTTGTCCCGGCGACGGGGACGATCCGCTCGGAGCACGAGTGTCTGGCGTCATACGCCGTCTCCCAGCAGTGGCGCTCCGTTACCGTGTTTGACCAGAGACCGGGCGCGTCAGACAGAGGTGAGTCATGATGTGAGCGCTCCCAACGCTCGTAATAAAGACAACCACCCGGTGCGGCGAAAACTTTCCGGTATAAATCACTGACTTTTCTCACTGTAGCTCGTTCTTGATAATGGCCAGTCTCATTCTCACCTCAATGCAAATTGATGCAGGTTCCACAGTTCAGCATTATGAGTCGCATGACTACAAAGTTCGCTCTCAGCGACTAACTGGTCGTATAACACGTATGTCCGCCCGCGCAGGTGTTCTGGTGTCGCTGCTGACGGCGTTGTTGCGGCGTAAGATGTTCGTGCAGCTGTCCGCCGAGCCTGTAGCTACCGGCTCCGAGTGTCCGTCTGATTCGGACGGCCACTCTGACACGGACGCCGCCGTGCTGCTGCGGCCGGCCGGCGGCGCGCAGCTCTGTCCGCGCGGCGCGCTGCACGCCTGGACCGAGGTGCGCCGCGCCGGCCGCGGCGGCGGCACCTTCATCAACGTCCGCTGGGACGCCGCCAGAGGCCGCATGGCCCCCGTCGACAGCGTCGACTGCTTCGGCGGCCGGCTGACGGCGCAGCCGGTCGCCCGGTCCACCGGCGACTTTCGGGGCGTGCTGCGAGACGTGCACGTGACGGTCAGCATAGTGGGCAGGGCGAACGGGCAGCCGATGGACGGCCGCGGCGGCGGCATCTCCAACCTGCGCGGGATGGCGTTCTCCGAGCACGGCGAGGGCGTGCTGCTGCGGTACATGAGCGAAACGCTCGGCTTCTCCTACTCCATCCGCCTCGTGTCTCACGTGCCTGACGGAAACTCCTTCAACGAGCAGGAGAACATGCTGGCCAACAACTCCGTGGACATGACGGTGAACTCGCTGACGCAGACGGTGCGCCGCTCGTCGATGATGAGGTTCTCCTTCCCGACGTCGACGTTTCAGGACCGGGTGGCCATCCAGCGTCCGCGCGTCGCTCGGCGCCCGTTCGAGCCCAAAAGGCCGTTCAGCCGCGCGGCCTGGATCGCCGTGGTGCTGTGCGTCACGCTGCTCGCGCTCTGGATGGCCGGCTGTCAGGCGCTGGCCGTCTTCAGCACGGCGGACGGCCGGCGCAGCGCCTTCCGCCGGGAGCTGTCCTTCCTGGCCGGCTGGTGGACGCTGGCGGCGATGGTGTGCAAACAGTACGGACGCGGACTGCCCGTACCCACCCGCGTCTCAGACGCCGTCTTTTGCTTCCTCTGCTTCGGCTTCACCTTCCTGGTCGGCAGCTACTACATCAGCGTCATCCACAGCTTCATGGCGCTGGATAGGCCGCAGCTGCCGTACAGCACCATTCGCCAGGGTTTGGAGACGGGCAGCCTCAGCGTCGGCTACAACAAGGGCGGCGTCATGGAGCGGAAAATTCTGACGGCGCGAGACCCGCTGCTGCAGCTCATCGCCAAACACGAGCACGCCCGGCCGTCCGGCGTGGACTTCTGGTCCCAGGAGAGCGACCAGCTGGACGCCTGGCTGCGGGCCGGACCTCACCACGGCTTCCTGCTGGCGGAGGAGGACCTGGAGACTCACCAGGCGCTCCACCCCGACTCCAGCTGCAACATCTGCTTCCTGCCGGAGCTGGTGAGCACGCGGCCCAGCGGCGTGGCCTACAGCCACCAGTTCCGGCACAGTCGGCTGCTGGACCTGCAGCTGCTGCGGCTGCGCGAGCTGGGCCTGCTGCAGCGCGTGGCCGGCCGGCGCCGCGAGCCGGCCGCGCTGTGCCAGCTGCGCGCGGAGCCGGCGCGCTGGCAGCCGCTCGGCCTGGAGGATCTGAGCGCCGTGCTGGCGCTGGTGCCGCTCGGCATTGCTGCCGCGCTCGTGGTGCTGGCCGCCGAGAGGGCCGTCCACCTGATCAGCACCGTCGCCGCCGAGCGCACCGTGACACACATCCCCTGATCGGGAGCTGGCGACGAGGGGCGGTGGGCCAGAAGACACAGCAGCAACGGGCCGTAGCGTCCCCATGGTGTCCGATATAATGTGATAACTTTCTTGGGGACTTCTCCCCGTGTGCCATTCAAATCATCCACGTTTAGGGCCTTAAAATGTTACACACATGTTCAGTGCACTGTTAATTTGCTTAGGCGCCACACAAAGCGTAGATACGGATTGTACATATTATTCCACAGCACTGGGCCTCTTGTTGTGATATGGTCTTCCTTTGCGGTGTTGTGGCGAGTTAGTAGCGGTGAAGTTTAGTCTGCACCAGATTTTCGTGGTGCGGTATGAGAGTCGCTCCTATGAGCTGACCGACAGCGAGAGCTCGGTTTGAGTCAAGCCGGCCACACTCCGATGTCATGCATGGAATGCTCGTGCTGAGGTCATTGGTTTCAGTCGTCATAGATGAGCTCCGTTAACGGTTTAGGGTCGTAGATCATATCTGAGTGTCGCGAACCGATTCCACCTGCTTTTAACAACATTTAGTTGTTCACACGCCTGCAATATTTCAACGCTCGAGCGATTGTGCCATGGACAGAGCCTGCAGCTGCACGCAACAAGCGCGTCCTGTCTGTCACACGCGGGCTCTGAAGTAACTTTAAGGCATGCTGGACACTGGTCAGTGGACACTCAATAAATCGACGTTTAAGAATAAACAAAGGCTATGCAATTCTCTCAACAGAATTCAACAATTCTCTCTGGAAGTCTCTCAACGAAGCACAAATACACGTGACGGTTCTTAGACAATGTAGACGTCCAAGTATCTAATCGCGACCATAAGCCAGAATAAAACACCAAAGCTCCAATAACCTTTTTACCTATATCTTTTCATGGACAATCTGCACCAGTGTGTTTGGGTACCATTGGTATAATCAATTGGCCAGCAGGCCATGCTCATCTAAGAAAAGTCATGCATGTCGATATCACTCGAGGTGTAAACAAACGGCGGCTGTCGCGCCCGTCCCACGACAGACATCTGGTCCAGGTCCTCGTCTGGCCACACTGGCTGGACGGGCGGATTGTTCACTGTTCAGCCAGGGCCACGCCAGAGCCGGCCTTCCCGAGCAGTGCATTCGGAAGCCTGGCGTCCGTAGAGAGCATAGCAAAAATACCTCTTTCGCATGTAATAAATAACTGACCTACCAATACCTCGGGACTCGAAAGGTGAAGTAGCAAATGCCCTCGGTACAACGTCCAGAATGAGAGCAAAGCAGCTATTATGCCAGGTTTGTTGCAACTTTTTACTGGTCACAGCACGAGAGCCGAGCATTGGCACTCGGTAGTAATGTTATCTAATGCTCCCGGCAAGATTACTTTACGCTCTCGGCACGTTTCCATCCATATGATCCATATTCCGGCCAGTTTCATCCAAAGCTGCAGTCTCTCCTAAAACTTCAAACATACATAGACTCGGGATATCTCAGGTCAAACTCAAAACCAACTCATCGAACCTCGCACAACCCCAATATCATGCCAGGAGTAGGTATAGAAGTGGCTGAAAAGTTTCAGCGGACGCATCCAATGGCCGTTTGACCCGCGAAAAACACGTGTCAGCGATGTCCGAATCGGAACAACGCGGAAAGGATAGAGATGGACGGTGGAGTATCCCGTGAGCGCTTCGAAATGCACAGATCACAATGAAAGTTCTCTGTGTTCCGCCACGTACACAGTGTCAAAATTAATGGCTCTGTTCGCGGAGGCGAGTGGATAGATAGTTCGACCGGGCATGTAATGTCACTTTGTCTACAAAAGAGAACAAATTCTAACGAAATGGCGTAAAGTTAATAGTTATGGTATGTTTGAATAACCCGACCCAAATTTATTCGAGGCTAGCGAGTAGCTATTTCGTACCACATCACAGCAGCAGACGAGATTTCAGCAGCGGACAGCCGACAGTGACCAGAAGACCCCATCCTCTCCACGAGTAGCCCAATCCCACCCACGCGCCGACCCGCAGTTCTCTGTATATCGCAGTGGCAGTGGCTGTGACACGCAGGCTCGTCTGTTGTACGTTGACGTCATCTGTTTGGACTGTGTCCCCCGAATGGCACGCGCCAGTCCGGGATATACTGTGCAGCGAGTGTCCGCCGGGAGCCCAGTGCCGCCGGGAGCTCCCACTCGCCATGAAGCTGCCGCTGCTAGTGCTCTCCCTCGCTGCCGCTGCCGTCGCGCAGCTCGACTTCGGCGGCGATGACCCCGAAGGTGTGATGCTGCTCGAGCCGGACGTGGTGGCCGCGCCGCCGGACCAGCCCGTCAGCCCGCTGACGGTCTTCTTCGAGGAGGACCACTACACCAACAAGGCCGCCGAGGAGGGGTTCTGTGAGTACCACTGCGGCAGTGAGCGGCGCCCCACGGTGGTGAAGCCGGGCCGGTGTCCCGCCGAACAGCCGCGGCCCGGTCTCGGCTGTGCCGATTTCACGGACCAATGCACGTACGACTCGGAGTGTCCGGGCGCGCAGCGCTGCTGTTTCGACGGCTGCGCGCGCGTCTGCGTCGACCCGGACCTGCGGAAGCGCTGCGAGGACATCAGCTGTCCGCAGGGCACGGCGTGCGTCGAGTACCCGCCGGCGGACGCGCGCTGTGTCTCCACCGAGACGAAATCGGGCCGGTGTCCAGCGCCGCTACCCGAGGGCAGCCGCGTCTCCTGCGAGACCACCTGTCAGTATGACTCCGAGTGCGACGCCGGCGACAAGTGCTGTTACAACGGCTGCGCCTTCCAGTGTCTGAAGCCACGCAAACCGGGCTGCGAGGAGACCAAGTGCAGGGTCGGCTTCAAGTGCGAGGAGGACCGCTACGGCAACCCCGAGTGCAAGCCGATCCCGTGCGAGCAGGACGGCGAGGTGGTCGACATCGAGTGCAACAGCTGCACCTGCATCCAGGGCTTCCTGCTCTGCTCGCAGGAGGAGTGTCCGCCCACCAAGCCAGGCTTCTGCCCAAAGATCGTCAGAGGCTACATGGGCGTATGCTTGGAAGAGTGCAGCAGCGACTACGACTGCGCCGACGACAGCAAGTGCTGCAGCACCGGCTGCGGCCACACCTGCCAGGCGCCCATCCCCGAGATCGTGCACCCGTGTAAAACGGTGCGGTTCCGGTGCGGCAAGCAGACGCGGTGCGCCGCCACGCGCGCGCTGTGCCGTCCCGGCGAGACGTGTCCGCTGGTGCCTCTGTGCGTGTCCAAGCGGGCGCCCTACTGCGACCGCTGCCCCGACGGCAAGGTGTGTGTGCTGCAGAAGAAGTACTGCAGCGGCGGTGGCGCCTGCCACCGGCAGCCCATCTGCATCCAGCTCTACAGCGACGACACCATCTTCGAGGAGAACGAGCTGCTCGAGCAGCAGGTGGTGGCCAACCAGCAGTCGCGGGACGCCGAGAACAGCGTCTTCTTCTAACAGCAGCAGTTGATGGTCAACCAGCAGGCGCGCGATGCCAAGAACAGCGTCTTCTTTTGATGGATATATGGAAGGGCGTGACGCCGTTGGGTGTCATACAGCGCTGAAGACTCTTCGGCAAAACGGGGTAAACTTGAGCCGTGCCAATATTCTAAATAAGGAATGCGTTATGGATTTGTCTAAATAAATCATCCGATATGAAAAACTACCTTGTTTAAACTGTGGGGGGGGGGAAACTTGTTCGACTACTCAGGACAGATCCCCTTACCAAACTACAAGCGTGTAAAGCAGGGACGTCTCGGAGTTCTGACCAACGCATAGCACAGCTGAATTTCCCAGCTCAGGCACCATGCGGACGACGGGCCGACGAACCATGCCAGTGCTATTCCATTCTGCACTACAGGCCATGCATGTATTACATGTCCACTGCAAGCCAGTAACGGCCGTCGAGCAAAATGAGAAATGGACACATTGCACGTTACGCTGCATTTCCGACGATGGCTAAGGCTGTTTCCTCATTTGGAAGCAGTTTTGATGGACCTATTTCAGTTTCTCACCATTCTAAACGTGATAATTCATATCTAACGGCTGTGTCACACGCCAAAACACCACAACTGCACAAAGGCTGACGGTTTCACATAGTTCCTAAAATAGGTATCTCATCTGATGATATCTCATCTGGTGCAAGAAGCCTCAGATGCCTCTAGCACCAAAATCCTCTTGCGGGTAGTATGTTCAGATGGTATGAACTTTCGATCATAAAACGATGCCTGTTCATTTATGGAACTTAGGTAATATTTAATTCATTTGGCCACTGCTGCAAGTGGGCATCACGCTTTCGCATCTCATTATGGATAATTGCTCAGAAAATCGAAAAAAAAGACTTCAGAAAATATATCAACTGAAGCACTGCTTTGCGCTAAACCTGGCAACTGAAATATCCAATATGTCAATTCGCTGATTATCTCAAAAGTGTAGAAATGGAAAATCCTCATGAATAAGTTAGATTACAAATGTACCAAAGTGTACATTTGTATAAGTTCGTCAATCATAACATTGCAATATTATCAAAGGCGATAAATGTATTGGTGGGGTGATTCTATGTCCAATGATGAGTCATCGCATATCCATGAGCTAAAATTATCACACACACAATGTTCACGAACACTAAAACATTGCATAATCGGATGAACACGATCAAACGGCAAAGTCAACAGTGAATACAGAGTTCGCCAGTACGGCAGGCTCTAGCGTTCAGACACTGACTCAACTGTGTATAAATAACACAAGAATCACAATTAGAAACACTCCTACTGTGCAAACACGGGCCACAGACTCAGGTGAAATCAGCCACATCAGACTGCTCCGAGTTCGCTGTATGAGTAGTATGACGGCTCTGAGCGCAGCGTAGCCAGGCCGCTTTATCACTGGGTACGATCTCCATTGAGCTTTGTACCGGATGGCTTCAGCTGCACACTCGCGATCGCACCCGACGGTCGCAGGCTGCCCTGCAGCTGACCAGCTTTACAATCAGTCACGGCTACACAGCTGACAGTCCACACTCCACAGACGTCCTGAGCTGCTCGGCTTTTGCAGCGCCCTCTGTGTACGATCAGTACCTTCCGTGCCCGCCGTCGGGTGGCAGCATCTCTCGCCAGGGCGGCGCTGGCCTCCGTCACCACGTATAGAGGCCCTCCTGACAGGTGACCTCCCGCAGCACGGCCGGCGCGGCGCCCTCAGCCGGCGGCGGCTGGCACAGCGTCTCCACCAGGTCCGGCTCCAGGCCGCAGTCGGACAGACCCTGCTGGCCGAACACAGACGGCGCCGCCAGCGGGCCCGGCGCCGGCAGACGCGACAGCGCCTCGCCGCCGCGCACACCGGCCAGAGAGACGGTGAACTGGTCGTGCGAGGAGCGCACCAGCCGCACCAGGCCGGCCACGGCGTGCGGCATCACCGGTCCGGCCAGCTCGAACGAGTGGAGCGTCTGCCGCGCCTGCTGCACGGTGCCGTGCCGCACCTGCGCCGCCGCCGCGTCAGACCACACTGACATAGACACGGAGCACACAAAGACACGGAGAAAGAGAGAAGGTGAAAGAGAAAAGAGAGAGGAGAGTGAAAAACAGCGGGGCTCGGCCTGAAGGACCATATGTGTTTGAGTCAGCCGCCAAAAGACAGTAGAGCGTATTTAGGCCAGAAACTGCAGCTGCTTAAAATAAATAACGCATCTGATTTCTGAAGCTAACATGAATAAATAAACGGACTTCGTAATGCCCATTTAGGTAATTTGTAATGTACTGAACCTGAGCTGATGAATTAATGAACTTGAACTCATGAATTAATGAACTTGATGTAATGAACTTTGCAGCAAGGCTTCAAATCTATTTGAAAGGCGCATTTACTTTGCTAATGTACTTAGTTCTTGGAATATTTACCGAGAAATAAAATATGGAACAAGACTTTAAAAAAGAACATGGACTCAATGCAAATAAGCTTGAGGACGGCTCAGAAAATTAACTGCCAAAAGCTGAAGGAAGGGAGGGAAGCGGAGGTAGTAGACACCTGCGGTAGGAGTGCAGAGAATGTGGTACTGCGACCGGCACGTGCGTCGGACAGCAGGAGCGGAGGGGAGATGGTACCCCGGCCGGCACTGGCAGCAGCAGAAGGTAGGGAGGTAGTAGCCTGGCCGGCGATGCCGGGACCGGTGCTCACCTTCAGCGGCTGCAGCGAGGCGCCCTGGAAGCCGACAGGGGCCAGTAGGGTGGGCGGCACGCCGGCCAGAGGCCCGCTGGCCGCCACACAGGCGCGAGAGTTGAGCAGGAAGTTGAGCAGCGCGTACACGTCGCCACCGGTGACGAGCGCCGTCGACTCGGGCCGGCCGTCCGAGTTGGACTCCTGCTGACTGTGGTCGCCGACACACCGCTCAGCTCAGGAAATTAGCACGGACACAGGGACAGACACAGACTAGAAATTGACCACAACACCTCTGTGTGGAAATACGCTACGTAGGAAGGAGAATCTCGTGACAAAAATAAATATGAATACGCTACGAGGGTGAGACAGGCTCGCAACCATGAACATGTTCGGCATCTGACTCATCTGTTACCGACAACACGACTTTAAAAAAGACGATTTGCAGCACAACAAAGTAATCAGAAACAATAATCGACAGCGCTGCTTGAGCCCGGACAGCCCCTTTCCACCCCTCCCGCTCCCGGTGTTCCGGTTCCAAAGGATACAGTTTCCGTCGCGTCGAGTGCATGCCGGGCATGGCGTCTGCCTGAATGCCCATCCTCTCCAGCCAGTGTTCGGCGTCCTCATCCTCGTCCTCAGAGGCCTCCAGCACGTCCTCCCCGGCAGCGGGGGAGGACGGCTCCGTCTGACCCTCGCCGGGACTGGCCGCGGGCGGCGGCGAGCCGGAGACGGCGTCCGCAGCGGAGCCGCCGGCAAACCCCGGGGCGGAGGTGGCGGACTCGGGGGCGGAGGTGGGAGGCCGGGGCGCGCCCGGGCGCAGCGGCAGGGTAAATTGCACGTCTGGAACAGAAGGCATGTGTTGCTGAGAGTGATCGAGCGCGGAGAGACCAAAGCACACTTGTTTACAGAGCATGGGTCACGGGTCAGACACCAGACTTGACATCTTAAAAAGACTGGTACCCGCAACAGGCGGACTACTAACCGTCCCTTCCTATGGTTCCTGAATAGGTCCTGAAATCGCCCTGATCCTGATGAGAAAGACTCTACCCACTCACCACCCCTTTTCAGCAGGTCCTGGATTACCCAACGTCCCTTTTAGGCAGGTTCCCGTTCACTCACAGTCCCTTCCGAGGTCTGTCCGGCCCGAGGCCACGGCTACTCGCCGTCCCTTTTGAGCAAGCTCCCGTTCACTCACCGTCCCTTTTGAGCAGGTCTCTGAGCCCTCGGCTGGTCGGTGTGATGATGGCGTGTGTGTCAGTGATGCCGCCCACGCCGGCCGACCGGAACAGACAGCAGAACGAGCTGGCGCACACGTAGAAGAACGGACACTGCCGGCTGCGCAACAGCTGGAACAGCGAGCGCAGACTCTCGCCCCTGGCCAACAACGGAAAATCGGTTACAAAACAGGTAGAGCATTGGTCAGGTGCATAGAACGCATTTGAAAGTGAGAATGTAGGTGACTAGCAAATAAATTGAGCCCCATCGTTGGGTTCCATCATCATATTTGAAGCTGTTGTTACTTGCACGCAGATGCAACCCTGACCACCTTATACACCTTATTCCTAGGTCAAACTGCATTTGCTTTCAGCATCGAATGCAGAGCTGCCATCTCCTTCAACTTGGACCAAGGAGGTCTGATACAATACACCCCTCCCTGCTTTCCAATCTTTCACTCTCATCTCATCACTCTATCCCTAGTGGCGTCTGGTCAATCCCCCCACTCCCTTCTCCTCTCTTACCACTCTGTCCGCAGGAGGTCCTGCATGGCCGGGTCGACGAACAGACTGCGCGGCCCGGTCGGGCGCCGGTTGAGCCGCGGAAACAGCTGCAGCCACGGCAGCCACGGGTGCTGCCAGTAGAGCGCGTGACGGTGCAGCCGGGCGTTCGGCGAGGTGTCCAGGCCGCTCTGCTCCGTGGACAGGCAGCGCACACAGCTGGTCACCGCCGACGCCTCCTCCAGTGTCTGAAGTGAGGGCGAGCGGTAGGCGGTGATTACATATGCGGAAACGAGCGGTACTTGGTGCGGAACACGAGTCTGCGGGACGTATGCCGCTACCCGCGCCCAACAAAAATAAAAAATGACACGGGAAAGAACTTGCTATGGATGGAGTAATGTATGGCACGATCCTCGCACTACACTAGTACACAAAACGAATCATAGAAAACGTGAAAGCATTCATTGTAACAACGACATACCTTCAATCGACTAGTCCACGGAAAGGGCGTTTTTGAGAGGAAGCGAATTTTCGTCTTCAGTCCCCAGTCAGTGGGCAGGTCTGGTACGCCTTTGGGGGATACATCGACCTGGAAAACGTAAGGTGTAGGTAATAGCTCAGTCCAAATATCAAAAACATCTACTGATTAGTGACATCTGAAAAATATCGTGTCAAATCATTTTGTGAATATTAACATTTCAGTTTCCCATTAAACGTGCTCTCCTTTTCACTTTTCTTCATAAAAATGCTTCTCTGATATTTCTCCCCCCCCCCCATATGCAGGGCTTGGCTCTCTCCCTCTCCACATCCCTTCAATTAACCCAGGCTCGTGCAGCTACGGTGCTCGGCAACGCACGGTAGTACGGTAGTACGAGACACACGCCCTCGACTTACCTGCGGCTCCTGCTGCTTCTGAGTGGCAGTGGCGGACAACAGACCAACGAACGAGGCCGACCTGGCGGGTCCGGTCGCGGGACCGGCGGCCGGCGCCGGGGCCGCCCGTGCGCCGACCTCCGTGCGCACGTCGCCCACGCCCGAGCGCAGGATCTCGAACAGCGTCTGATCCATGGACGGCTCTGGCGCGGCGGCGGCCGGAGCCAGCCGCGGCCGTTTGGCGTTGCCGTCATCGCCGCCGCACCTGCACACCAACAAATGTGGTAACACATGATAGGGTATCACTGCAGTGCTGGCAGAGCTCACACAGATATACAGCGTCTGTATATCTGTCTTACTGATACAGTGAGCAAAGCTGTGTTATCAAGTTACCCAATGCAGATATAAGCCAGCAATTATTAACAAGCAGCTATTCTAGATGACTGACCTGAAAGGATTTGTCCGTTTCTGACTAGTGCCTTTAAAACATGAGAGTTGGCTTGATTCAAGAGCCTGCTTTCTGATTCCCTGGTTAATTCTGGCTTTCAGAGCTCTCTTCTTTGCTTTCAACTTCTGCAGGACATCTCCAGGCTTCAGCCATTCACCCTTGGATGGAGAGCTCATTATCACTGAAATAATTAAGCAATTGGGTTAACTATTATTTAGATTCATGCCTTATGACTTTGATTGAAACTTATAGAAATAAATTATGACGTACTCATTATTACTGGTCCACTTTGAATAAACACACTCTGAATCATCAAGAAATACACTTTCTTAGCAGCTGAAACATCTATTCTACATAACTTGAAATTTAGAGTAACAAAAAGCACCAAAAAACACAGCACAGTAATAGTCAGGCAAATGAAAAAGAAGATAATTTTTACACTTGCAGTGACATGGCATCTTTGTAAGGCCTCACATTAACATGAAGGCTTACATGTTTTGAATGTGCTGTGAATTATTGGTGGAATTGATTATTACTTTTACCAAAGAATCATCCAAGATTATTTCCCTCTTTTGCACTTTTTTAATACTGAAGAAATTCACAAAACAAAATCATGAAAAAACACATCCTTCTTAGGTAGAAAAGTGAGATCACACATAGAGACTAATGATAGTTCTTACAAAAACATTTATAAGTTACACCCAACCACTTGTTGGGTCAGGTAAGGTTATGTGGTATATAAGTAGATTTAGGTTGTAGGTTAGGTTGTAGGGTAGGTTGTAGGTTGGTAGGGTGTAGGTTGGTATGTTGTAGGTTGGTAGGTTGTAGGTGTAGGTTGCAGGTTGGTAGGTTAGTAGGTTAGTATGTATGGTTAGGTCAGGTTAGATTAGGTTTTTTATTTCTGCTTGTATTGTATCCAATTTTTTAAGCATTAAATGATTGTATGGACAATTGCCTAGGTTGATAAATGGCTTGCGACAATATGGAGTTGTTTTTACTTATTCAATTTTGAGCCCAGGGTGCAAAAGAGGGTTTTGACCTCATCCAATGTTACACAAAGTTCACATGCATATTTTAAACACCACAAAAATATGGCAAAGTAGGTACCTACCTACCTGTAGGAGCAGCAACTTGGGTCAAACAACGTGGCGCTTTGCCTTCATGACAGCTATAGGTACTCTGCCTCAGTGCTGCAGTGCGGGTGTGAGATGATAGATGCCTTATCTGGTTCAAGGATCTGGTTGGCCACACACACTACACAGTACACACATGCATATACATTTATCAGTTGGTACCTTATCTGACCAGCCTCTGTAACAGCTAGGATGATGCAGAATGCCGAATGCGGACTGTGCAGATCTTTGTGCAAATGATCAGATTGAGATCAAGATCAAGATCAAGATTGAGATGAACAACGCAACTTCACGGCCTCTTGGTTTGGTTTGGCGACCTGTTGACCAGGCAATTTTGAACTGATTGTTACAGTGTTTTTGATTTTTAAATACTTTAATCAAAAGAGAACCTCAACTTCTGTAAAACAGTGAAATTACAATTTACAAATTAAAATAAAATGACACAACTCTCTCCCCGCCAAAAAGAAAACCCGCGCGCAGGGCAGACAAATAAATGTCACAGCTGCGCCAGTAATGTAACAAACAGTCTTTTACCGAATGCTGCCACTAAATAAGGAATGCATTAGATTTATGGGTACGCAGATAAGATGTTTGAGAATGCAGTGTTCCTTCTACATGGAAATACTTCAAAAAAATTTGTGTTCCAATAATTTTCTGGTTTCCCACATAAAATCATACATATTATCCAAGATATCATCAAAAAATTGGTGAAAAAGCATATTTTAAGGATCGCTTCTTGATCGACAACCGAATGAAAAGTACGGCAGTTATCAAGATGAACTATTTGAATATTTTTCGGGTAAATTCTTCAAATTAACTTTTTATTGGCAAGGATCATGTATTTTATTCATGACCAGAGTATACTGTGGACTGGAAAATGGTAACAGGATGGGATATTTTTTTACAGCAAACGAATTTTCATGTTCATTTTAAGTTAAAATGATCAAATTTGATGAATGTCAAACATAATAACGGTCAAATTGCCTAAAAAGCAGAAATGTAGAATCGTACTAAAATATCTTATATCTAACAGCTGTAAGGTGAATTGAAATATCACATGACGATAGCCATTACAGCAAACCTTGAATCGCCCTTCGTAATTGAAATTCTGGGTGGTGCCCCGTTGGAGAACATCGGCGCTGGGGATCGCCTGTTATTTCCTTCCGGAGTCGTTTTCATCAGGTGCGAAATATTCTGATACCTATTCATCAAATATTTGTATGTTTCACAAACAAATCTCCGCTAAAAATATCGAAAATTGCCGTAATTAAGTATCTGGCACGAATGTGGCGCACTTTTGTCTGCGTTTGATATCGACACCTGTTGCTTATGATTGCTTTTAGGTCTGATGATTTCATTATTTGTTTGTGATGTTTACAATTATTATAAAATTATGACAGTACTCTCCTGTATACGTATCCAAATACTGTCAGTTTGGTACAGTTTGAATCGTGCGGCTGACATTGCGCTCGTCTATTCCTCAACCTGTGGCCATGTCGGACGTGGTCTGGTTCCTTAGAGAACTGATGAAGAATGGTCTTTGTGGATGTGTGGTTCAATACTGCCCTACTGGTCCTAAATATTTTTGAATCTGTTGTTAGATTTTGACTGGTCAGTTTTATCCCAGCAATAATTCAGCTGTGTAAGAAAATATAGGTAGGTAGTAGGTATCTATCTGTCTTGTTTGGAGGAATGGTTATCTGGAATCATAGAAAGCAGTATAAAGGAACAGTTGCCATGCAATAATTGTATTGCTTGTGCACAGAAATTTTACTGGTTTAGCAGAGCATGAGAATTTATCTCAATATAAGGTTCTGAAATATTTCAACATTTACAATGAAATAAATGTGAAAATGCTGTTCAGTTAATTGGGTACTTACATCTCAATGGAATTCACAGGTTCTTTGCAAGCTGTTGCCCAGAAATGTTCTCTAACCTGGTTCTCTCACCTGGTAGGGTTCTCCTTACCTAGCAGCCATTAGGATATGGTAGCAGACATGATGGGAAGCCATGATCAAACGACACACCAGCTCACCAACAAACATTGCCCATTGCCTGTCGCTGTGAAAGCATTTTTAAGCTCCTGGTCAGTTCACCAAGTGATATCCATTATCAATGCAATTCAGGATTCAGGAGTGTCCTTAGGTGTATCATGTATGTTCATTCAGGTCTGGTCTGAGTGGTTGAACAGTGAACACGCTTATATTAGCCTGGTATGTTAATAAATATGTAGTAAACAGTCAAGTTGTTTCCTGCTGGCTTCTACTCTGTTAAGCATGATTGGGATAGTACTGGAGCTACCACAACCCTCTGACCAAGTTGATTTAGCATTTCCTTATATTGAAACTAATTTGATTATAGACTGCTTTTTGTAGGTAATGACCACTTACCACAATTGTCAAGATTGATGTTGGTGTAAGTGGGAGATATTTCTCCATAGGTAAGTTTCAGTTTCAGTTTGTCTTGTTTTGTAGTTTGAATTTCAAATGACCTTTTCCTCGATAATTAATTGAAAATGCAATAAAAAGCAAATATTATATTGTTTGGCAAATTTTCGAACAACAGTTCATTCTCAAGCCACATGAAACAATTGACAACGAAGTTTTATAACTGCCGCCAAGCCACTTTTTTAAATTCTTACACGTGATATACAAATGGTCTTCTTAAAATCGGAAAGCTGAACTAAATCGATCATATCCCAAGCTGTTCTAACTCCACCTATTCCACATATACATCCACACATACATGACCATTAAAAGTAATATGCGAGCACACCCACACAAATACATACAATATGGTTCTTCTTGGTCGTGGATCGTGTCACATTAAAACAAAAAATAACAATACAAACACTTCGAAAGTCTCGTAGTAGATCGTGTCGTAAAAGGGCGGTTCGGTTTAAACAATCATACAAATGCATACAACTAATAGGTATGCCGGCACTCCCAGTCCCACACAAATACATACAATATGGTTCGTCTTGGTCGAAATCGTGATCGTGTCGCATTAAAAAAGAAAAAAAAGAAGACAACAACAATAACAATACAAACGCTTCGAAGTCTCGTAGTAGATCGTGTCGTACAAGGCCTTATATGTAGTGTCGTAAAAGGTTCGGTTTAAACAATAATACATAATACATATGCATAGAACTTCGAATCAAGCGCAGTAACAATAAACCACACATAATTTACAATGACAGCCAGTGGATAATGAAAACAAACGACTATCATTCTATAGTATGGGCCATGAAGACATATTGGAGTTGAGCTTTGGGTGCTTCTTTTGGATAAGGAGAGATTCCGCGATTTTCCTATCTGGGTGATCTTTCGACTTATACAAAATGCGTACTTTGAGAGGTGTGCCTCCTTCGTGGGTGGAGTGACACTCCTGAAAATGATCGCCCATGGGCGTGTCGCGTGTTTTGTTGAGCGCGTCCCTCAGGTGTTCATTGAATCGTAAGCGCACCGGGCGCTTTGTCTCGCCTACGTATGTTACGGTCTCTCCATTGCTTTCACAGACAGTACATGTAATCTCATAGACTAAGTTTTTCTGTGTGCAGTCCCCAGAGAACCCCGAGCTGCATGTGTGACATCTTTGACCTCCTGGGCATATGGGCTTACACAGTGCTGATCTCACCAGTTTATCTTTTAGCTTTTGTGAATTTTTCCATGCTAACTTTACATTGAGGCCTGATTGTCTCACTTTCCTCTTGACTTCGCACAGGAGTCTTTCATCTACATAAGGAAGTGTAAGGAACCCATCACACGGTTCTTGGGTCCTGTCTCTTCTAGTTCTCGACTGAGTCTTGTTCCCCCTAGCCTCTCTGAGCAACCTGTTCAGGACATAGTTTGGGTAGCCATTCTTTAAGAGTAATTGCCTTATCTTTTCTACACTTTTCCTCTCCTTCATGTTGTTTGATGAATTCCTGATAGCCCGTTTAAATTGATTTCTAGCCACGTTGAGTTTGGTCGACTTTGGTCGACTTTGTCATTGTAAATTATGTGTGGTTTATTGTTACTGCGCTTGATTCGAAGTTCTATGCATATGTATTATGTATTATTGTTTAAACCGAACCTTTTACGACACTACATATAAGGCCTTGTACGACACGATCTACTACGAGACTTCGAAGCGTTTGTATTGTTATTGTTGTTGTCTTCTTTTCTTCTTTTTCTTTTTTTTTTCTTTTTTAATGCGACACGATCACGATTTCGACCAAGACGAACCATATTGTATGTATTTGTGTGGGACTGGGAGTGCCGGCATACCTATTAGTTGTATGCATTTGTATGATTGTTTAAACCGAACCGCCCTTTTACGACACGATCTACTACGAGACTTTCGAAGTGTTTGTATTGTTATTTTTTGTTTTAATGTGACACGATCCACGACCAAGAAGAACCATATTGTATGTATTTGTGTGGGTGTGCTCGCATATTACTTTTAATGGTCATGTATGTGTGGATGTATATGTGGAATAGGTGGAGTTAGAACAGCTTGGGATATGATCGATTTAGTTCAGCTTTCCGATTTTAAGAAGACCATTTTGTATATCACGTGTAAGAATTTAAAAAAGTGGCTTGGCGGCAGTTATAAAACTTCGTTGTCAATTGTTTCATGTGGCTTGAGAATGAACTGTTGTTCGAAAATTTGCCAAACAATATAATATTTGCTTTTTATTGCATTTTCAATTAATTATCGAGGAAAAGGTCATTTGAAATTCAAACTACATATATCAAGATGTTCCTCGCTAGAGCGCTTCATACTATTGTCTTGTTTTGCTATAAATAACTTTATTAATTTTTACTGATGTGTAATTCTTTTTACAGAACTCCGGGAAATACAAAGCTGCCACCATGCCTAAAGCGGTGAGTACTCTTCAGTAGCATTTGTAGTCTATTGGGACTATGTCACCCTATTGATCCTTTGTTTTCACATGTGGTTGACAATGGAACAGTGAAGCGAGTCCAGTAGCGCTCGCGTGCGGTTATATGTCGCTGAGATGTAGGCTGGCGCCGACACAGCGTCCTTACAGAGGGTGCAGGCACATGCTTCGCTGCGAGTCGGGAGAGCTGCCTGGGCCGACCTGGTGGCCTGGACTCGTCATATGGGGCCGGGAGGGGCTGAGCTTAGAGATGTAGGTATCCCCGGCCGATCGCACTGGCCCAGTTATTTCCACGAACGGAGACGTCGCCGTGACGACCGGAGGCGTTGTTCGCCGGTACCGCGGCCGGTGCGGTGTCGGCTTACGGCGCGGTCGGTGCGGCCTGGACCGGGGAGGGAGGGGCGCGGGTCGGCCCCTGCCGGCTGCCGACCGTGCGGCGTGCAGTGGCGCCGACTGGATGCGCGCCGAACGGGCGCCGAGGGCCCGCTGGGCACCGCGACGCGTGCGTGATTTGTTATCGGAGCACGTCTGCCTTGGAAGGACACGCGTATACAATAATGGTGGGGGACAGTTCTTGTCTGAATGGGGGTTGGAGTACGTAGAGAGCTACGTTGG